GGGACACGATTACGGTACCATCGCAAGCCTGTGGCTGTGAGCAACTTTCCAGCGACGAGGTTTGGGGATACGATTACGTTACCATCGCAAGCCTGTTGCTACGAGCAACTTTTCAGCAACGAGGTTTGGGGACACGATAACGTTACCATCGCAAGCCTGTGGTTGTGAGCAACTTTCCAGCGACGAGGCTTGGGGACACGATTACGTTACCATCGCAAGCCTGTGGCTGTGAGCAACTTTCCAGCGACGGGGCTTGGGGACACGATTACGTTACCATCGCAAGCCTGTGGCTGTCAGCAACTTTCCAGCGACGAGGCTTGGGGACACGATTACGTTACCATCGCAAGCCTGTGGCTGTGAGCAACTTTCCAGCGACGAGGTTTGGGGACACGATTATGTTACCATCGCAAGCCTGTGGTTGCGAGCAACTTTCCAGCGACGAGGTTTGGGGACACGATTGCGTTACCATCGCAAGCTTGTGGCTGTGAGCAACTTTCCAGCGACGAGGTCTGGGGACACGATTACGTTACCATCGCAAGCCTGTGGCTGTAAGCAACTTTCCAGCGACGAGGTTTGGGGACACGATTACGCTACCATCGCAAGCCTGTGGCTGTGAGCAACTTTCCAGCAACGAGGTTTGGGGACACGATTACGTTACCATTGCAAGCCTGTGGCTGTCAGCAACTTTCCAGCGACGAGGCTTGGGGACACGATTACGTTACCATCGCAAGCCTGTGGCTGTGAGCAACTTTCCAGCGACGAGGTTTGGGGATACGATTACGTTACCATCGCAAGCCTGTGGTTGTCAGCAACTTTCCAGCGACGACGTTTGGGGACACGATTACGTTACCATCGCAAGCCTGTTGCTACGAGCAACTTTTCAGCAACGAGGTTTGGGGACACGATTACGTTACCATCGCAAGCCTGTGGTTGTGAGCAACTTTCCAGCGACGAGGCTTGGGGACACGATTACGTTACCATCACAAGCCTGTGGCTGTCAGCAACTTTCCAGCGACGAGGTTTGGGGACACGATTACGTTACCGTCGCAAGCCTGTGGCTGTGAGCAATTTCCAGCGACGAGGTTTGGGGACACGATTATGTTACCATCGCAAGCTTGTGGCTGTGAGCAACTTTCCAGCGACGAGATTTGGGGACACGACTGCGTTACCATCGCAAGCGTGTGGCTGTGAGCAACTTTCCAGCGACGAGGCTTGGGGACACGATTACGTTACCATCGCAAGCCTGTGGCTGTCAGCAACTTTCCAGCGACGAGGTTTGGGGACACGATTACGTTACCATCGCAAGCCTGTGGCTGTGAGCCACTCTTCAAAGACGAGGTTTGGGGACACGATAACGTTACCATCGCAAGCCTATGGTTGTGAGCAACTTTCCAGCGACGAGGTTTGGGGACACGATTGCGTTAACATTGCAAGCCTGTGGCTATGAGCAACTTTCCAGCGACAAGGTTTGGGGACACGATTACGTTACCATCGCAAGCCTGTGGCTGTAAGCAACTATCCAGCGACGAGGTTTGGGGACACGATTACGTTACCATCGCAAGCCTGTGGCTGTGAGCAACTTTCCAGCGACGAGGTCTGGGGACACGACTACGTTACCATCGCAAGCCTGTGGCTGTGAGCAACTTTCCAGCGACGAGGTTTGGCGATACGATTACGTTACCATCGCCAGCCTGTGGCTGTGAGCAACTTTCCAGCGACGAGGTTTGGGGACACGATTACGTTACCATTGCAAGCCTGTGGTGGCGAGCAACTTTCCAGCGACGAGGTTTGGGGACACGATTACGCTACCATCGCAAGCCTGTGGCTGTGAGCAACTACCCAGCGACGGGGTTTGGGGACACGATTACGTTACCATCGCAAGCCTGTGGTTGTCAGCAACTTTCCAGCGACGAGGTTTGGGGACACGATTACGTTACCGTCGCAAGCCTGTTGCTACGAGCAACTTCTCAGCGACGAGGTTTGGGGACACGATTACGTTACCATCGCAAGCCTGTGGCTGTGAGCAACTTTCCAGCGACGAGGCTTGGGGACACGATTACGTTACCATCGCAAGCCTGTGGCTGTCAGCAACTTTCCAGCGACGAGGCTTGGGGACACGATTACGTTACCATCGCAAGCCTGTGGCTGTGAGCAACTTTCCAGCGACGAGGTTTGGGGACACGATTGTGTTACCATCGCAAGCCTGTTGCTACGAGCAACTATCCAGCGACGAGGCTTGGGGACACGATTGCGTTACCATCGCAAGCCTGTGGCTGTGAGAAACTTCTCAGCGACGAGGTTTGGGGACACGATTACGTTACCATCGCAAGCCTGTGGCTGTGAGCAACTTTCCAGCGACGAGGCTTGGGGACACGATTACGTTACCATCGCAAGCCTGTGGCTGTCAGCAACTTTCCAGCGACGAGGCTTGGGGACACGATTACGTTACCATCGCAAGCTTGTGGCTGTGAGCAACTTTCCAGCGACGAGGTTTGGGGACACGATTATGTTACCATCGCAAGCCTGTGGTTGCGAGCAACTTTCCAGCGACGAGGTTTGGGGACACGATTGCGTTACCATCGCAAGCCTGTGGCTGTGAGCAACTTTCCAGCGACGAGGTTTGGGGACACGATTACGTTACCATCGCAAGCCTGTGCCTGTCAGCAACTTTCCAGCAACGAGGTTTGGGGACACGATTACGTTACCATTGCAAGCCTGTGGCTATGAGCAACTTTCCAGCGACGAGGTTTGGGGACACGATTACGTTACCATCGCAAGCCTGTGGATGTGAGCAACTATCCAGCGACGAGGTTTGGGGATACGATTACGTTACCATCGCAAGCCTGTGGTTGTCAGCAACTTTCCAGCGACGAGGTTTGGGGACACGATTACGTTACCATCGCAAGCCTGTTGCTACGAGCAACTTTTCAGCAACGAGGTTTGGGGACACGATTACGTTGCCATCGCAAGCCTGAGGTTGTGAGCAACTTTCCAGCGACGAGGTTTGGGGACACGATTACGTTACCATCGCAAGCCTGTGGCTGTAAGCAACTTTCCAGCGACGAGGCTTGGGGACACGATTACGTTACCGTCGCAAGCCTGTGTCTGTGAGCAACTTTCCAGCGACGAGGTTTGGGGACACGATTACGTTACCATCGCAAGCTTGTGGCTGTGAGCAACTTTCCAGCGACGAGGTTTGGGGACACGATTGCGTTACCATCGCAAGCCTGTGGCTGTGAGCAACTTTCCAGCGACGAGGTTTCGGGACACGATTACGTTACCATCGCAAGCCTGTGGCTGTGAGCAACTTTCCAGCGACGAGGTTTGGGGACACGATTACGTTACCATCGCAAGCCTGTGGCTACGAGCAACTTTTCAGCAACGAGGTTTGGGGACACGATGACGTTGCCATCGCAAGCCTGAGGTTGTGAGCAACTTTCCAGCGACGAGGTTTGGGGACACGATTACGTTACCATCGCAAGCCTGTGGCTGTCAGCAACTTTCCAGCGACGAGGCTTGGGGACACGATTACGTTACCATCGCAAGCCTGTGGCTGTGAGCAACTATCCAGCGACGAGGTTTGGGGACAGGATTACGTTACCATCGCAAGCCTGTGGCTGTGAGCAACTTTCCAGCGACGAGGTCTGGGGACACGATTACGTTACCATCGCAAGCCTGTGGCTGTGAGCAACTTTCCAGCGACGAGGTTTGGGGACACGATTACGTTACCATCGCAAGCCTGTGGCTGTCAGCAACTTTCCAGCAACGAGGTTTGGGGACACGATTACGTTACCATCGCAAGCCTGTGGCTATGAGCAACTTTCCAGCGACCAGGTTTGCGGACACGATTACCTTACCATCGCAAACCTGTGGCTGCGAGCAACTATCCAGCGACGAGGTTTGGGGATACGATTACGTTACCATCGCAAGCCTGTGGTTGTCAGCAACTTTCCAGCGACGAGGTTTGGGGACACGATTACGTTACCGTCGCAAGCCTGTTGCTACGAGCAACTTCTCAGCAACGAGGTTTGGGGACACGATTACGTTACCATCGCAAGCCTTTGGTTGTGAGCTACTTGCCAGCGACGAGGCTTGGGGACACGATTACGTTACCATCGCAAGCCTGTGGCTGTCAGCAACTTTCCAGCGACGAGGCTTGGGGACACGATTACGTTACCATCGCAAGCCTGTGGCTGTGAGCAACTTTCCAGCGACGAGGTTTGGGGACACGATTGTGTTACCATCGCAAGCCTGTGGCTGTGAGCAACTTCTCAGCGACGAGGTTTGGGGACACGATTACGTTACCATCGCAAGCTTGTGGCTGTGAGCAACATACCAGCGAAGATGTTAGGGGACATGACTGCGTTACCATCGCAAGCTTTTGGCTGTAACAGACAAGGCACTCAAATTCAAAACGCACATCGGTGACGTCTATGTGCGTTTTGCTCTTGCCCGCAGAGAAACAAACTCAAGACCGCAAATCTCCTTTTTCTATCCAGATAAACCCCGGGGCTCATGTGAAAAGTGCCTCGCTTCCAGGAAAAACATGCCATAGTTTCATAAACCAATTTAGTAAACTAAACCCTAAAAGGCGGAGCTGGCTACGGGTGGGCGCCGCTCGCACGGCGCGGGTGGGAGAAGAAACTGGAGCGGCCGACACGAGGCCCCAGTAGCCACGGCACTCCTGCGCGTTCCGTAGCCGACATGCCTCGTAACATTATGACATACCCGAACGGTCCAAAGCTCTTTGCTGCCTCATGCAAACCCTAAACCCTAAACCCTAAACCCTAATCCCTAAACCCTAATCCCTAAACCCTAAACCCTAAAATCCATAATCCCTAAACCCTAAACCCTAAACCCTAATCCCTAAACCCTAATCCCTAAACCCTAAACCCTAAAATCCATAATCCCTAATCCCTAAACACTAAACCCTAATCCCTAAACCCTAATCCCTAAACCCTAAACCCTAAAATCCCTGGTTGAATCTCGGATTTCTTCGCCTGCTCGGCTTCGTGCTCAGACTCGGACTCCGAGTCTGAAATGGGAGGAGGCTTGGCCATCAGCTCCTTCCGGGATTAGGGTTTAGGGTTTATAGGGTTTAGGGTTTAGGGTTTATAGGGTTTAGGGTTTAGGGTTTATAGGGTTTAGGGAGTTTTAGGGTTTAGGGGATTTTAGGGGCCATCAGCTCCTTCCGGGGCTTTTTAGGGGGTCCTTATTATAAAGATCCTATTTTGCTTAGGGGTCCCTTACTATGAGGATCCCTTATTATAAGGCTCCTATTTGGGGTGCTCTTAAATTTCCCCCTATTTTCGGAAACTCTCTTCTTCAGGGAGAATGGAGGTGCTTTTAGGGTGTTTAAGCTATTTGGGGCTTTGGCTTGGGGTGTAGGGTTTAGGGTTTAGGGCTTTTCGGGTTTTCAGATAATTTTTCAGGGTGTTTAGGGCTTTTGAGGTTTCGGATCTTTTGAAGATTTAGTTACTAAAGTTTGTTGTCCGGGTTTTGGCTTGGGGTGTAGATTTCAGGGTTTGGGATTCAAGGGTTTGGGGCTGAGGGTTTAGGATTCAAAGGTTTAGAGTTTAGGGCTTTGGGATTGAAAGGCTCAGGGTTTTGGGATTGAAAGGCTTAGAGTTTTGGGAAGGAAAGGCTTCGGTCGGGTTTAGGGAAGGAGGCTTGGATCCTGGATCTTTTGGATTGGGGCTGTTCAGGTTCTAGACCTTAGGGCTGTAGGGCTCCAGGGACTGTACGGTTGATGATATGAACCCTGCATGACTTTAAGGACCCTAAACTATGGGAATTATGGTATATTCCTTATTTTAGCTCATGCAGGATTTATATCATCAACAGTAGTACTTAGGTTTTGGGGCATTGGGGCTTAGGGTTTGGGGTGGAGGCTCCCCGAAACGTCTCAGCACAAAACCTCTAAACTCATACACCCAAGCTTCTAGATCCTGAAGAACTACGACCCTGCTCCCCAAAGCACAACTGTTTAGTTCAGGTTTCTAAAACGGAGAGAAAGAAATAGGGGAGCTCGCGTGGCAACTTTCGACCATCGACGTTCCATACGCCCGCGCTAGCGAAGCTGAAGCAAACTTTTGCTGAACTCTCCCCAACCTTCCAGCCTGCAACTTTTGACAATTTCGCGGCTCTTTGGGTTTCCCAGGCATAATTACACTTTTTGCGCTAAGACTGCTCCTTCCAAATACGCCCTTTCATGGGTCAGGCGAATGAGGTTATGCTCTGCCTTCTTTGGCGTGCCTGCGCAATCAACAAGTGGGCATGATAAGTGGGCCGTTGCCATGCCTACTCCTTCAAGCAAGAAGGAAGGCTATGGGAAACAAAGACTCCAAAACAAATGTAGGCCGTTGCCATGGGAAGGTTGAAGGTCTCGCAAACACCACACGAGAATCTGATCTCGCGGGTGTTTGCAGTTGTTTGTTGTCGGTCCCATACTACATCTCTGTTTGGTCCTGTCGGCACAGGTGTGCCGATTCTCGGTTGACAAGTTACTCAAAGGAGACAAGTGCAGGGGCTTGCAAGACAAGCAGCGCATGACGCTCATGTGCTCTAGGCTAGTGGGTGTGCTCAGCATATTACTGCTGCATCCGCGACTGCCGCTATCACAATGCTAAGCCATGACGGCTTAAAGGGAAATTTCGTGTAGAGGGCTTCCCTGCACTAAGGTTTGAGAGGATCTCTGATAAACATGCCGACACTCGTGAAAGGTTCTGTTGACACCTTTCAACGATGCAAAGAAATATTGAGCAGCTTGCAGAAGTATCTTGTTAAGCCAGACCGACGGAAACTTTCTTCAGACCTGCGGAAACCCATCTGGGGTTCAGGGTTTACGGCCGGGTTCAGAAACACTCCAAATCGCCTGCATACACCAGCCGCAAAGAAACCGAAACTCCACTGGCCTGCCGAAGCCTCAAAGCCCAGAGCCCTGAACCCTAAGCCCTAAATCCTAAAGCCTCAACCCAAAGCCCTAAACCCGAAGCCCGACACCCTAAACGCTAAACCCCGAGCCCTGAACCCTGAGCCCTAAACCCTAAACCTCAGAGCCCTACTGCTGATGGACAAAATCCTGCATGACCCTAAAGGCTCTAAACTATGGGAACTATGGATATATTCCTTATAATGGGTCATGCAGGATTTTGTCCATCAGCCGTAGGATCTCCCAAGCCCAGACAGAGGCCCGGCCCGACCCCCCGAACCCGAAAGCGCCCCCCAAACCCTACAGCCCTGAAGCTCTAAAACTGAAGCATCAGCCCTTAAAACGCCTAAATCCTAAAAAAAAAGCCTGATAAAGCCTAAATTCAAAAAAAAGCCACAAAGAGGTTTAGGCCTTACTGTCCCAAAGCCCTGGAGCCCCACTCCCTAAACCCGAAGCTCAGGCCTGCAAGCCCCGGAAAACCCCTACTTTGCGTATAACCTTACTTACTAAGTCGCCTGATCCTCCAAGCAGACAATAAACCCTAAACTCTATAGATCCCTTTAAGGAACCCTTTAGATCCCTTTAAGGAGCCTTTTAAGAACCCTTACTAAGCCCCCTGATCCTCCAAGTAAGCCTTACACCACGAGACCTAAAACCCTAAACCCTAAACCCTAAACCCCAAACCCTAAACCCTAAACCCCCCTCAAGTCGCGTCCTCGTCGTCCGAAGCATCGGCCCATTTGCCGGTGTGAGCGAGCTCGGAACAAGCAGGGTTTAGGGATCTAAGGCTCAGAGTTTAGGGTTGAAGGTTTAGGGTTTAGAGTTTAGGGTTGAAGGTTTAGTATTTAGGGTGTCGGGATTAGGGTCTGCTTTTTTCGGTGGGGCTGGGTTGTGCAGGGTTTTTTTGTCTTGTTTCAAGTATTTGACAGGCTCTATGGGGTTAGATTGGGCGTTGGGAAGGGCCAGGTTTAGGGTTCAAAGGTTTTCAACTCTGACCCTAAACCCCTCAATATTTTAGCTTCAGGTGGGGCTATCAGCTCTGAAAAAGGGTGCTTGTCATGGGCTTCAAGGGTGTCACCATTTCTTTTGGTCAGCCTAGCCGTAGCCTGCAGAAGTTCAGACAAACTTGAAACCTTTGCTTTAGGTTGTCAGGATGTGAACTCTTCCATGACTTCGGTGTCGGCGGCGTGTGGGGTTCAGGACAGAGAAGTCAGGGTCTACAAAGACAGATCCAGGATCCAGGATGGAGGGTTCATGCAGGCATGGTTCGTCTGAAGTGCAAAGCCCAAAAAATTTGGGGGGTTCATGCATTCGGGGAGCACTCAGAGTGCAGGGCCGTGTGGACAAGCTCAATCCCTAGTTGCTTAAAGCCAGAAAGTTGGAATATCATTATCGTAACCCCTTTAAGGTAAACTATAGGGGATCCTACCATTAATCCATATTCCAACTTTCTGGAGTTCCCTTTAGTTGCTTAAAGCCAGAAGGAAATCCTAAACCCTCACCCCGGACCCCTCTGCCCTCAGCCCTGGGTCCCAAACCTGAGAAGCCCCCGAGCCCCCGGCACCCAAGAGATTTCGGGGTTTAGAGTTTAGGGTTTAGGGTTTGGGGTTCAGCAGCTCCGGGTCGAGCAGTTTTAAAGTAGGGTTGTGTCTATAGTTTAGGAATAACACCCACCCACCCTCAGAATCCCATAACATCAGGGAAATAGAAAGTTTCGTTTCGTTTTGCAGCTTAAACCACTTTTATTGCACGTTAGCATAACATTCACATCGTTAACATCTGCCACTCCTGTTTCAAGAAGTTGCTGTTGATGTTGCACTCAAGGCTATTGACGCAACCCTAAAACAGATGTATTCTTCTTACCAATGGATCGGTCAAGATAGCTAATTAAAGCAAGAAAGCACTGCCCGAAACAGCTGAGAACGCGATCACGTCATCGCTTTACGATAGCAACCACAGCTATCAAGTTCGATTTCATGTCTTTCAATGTTTCCACATCGGACTATGTCCACTGATATCAACTTCAATGACATGCAACACAGCAAAGTCACAGTGCTGTTGATCTACGTTAAGAAGGAAAACCTCTTGTAGAATTGTTTCGCTTATTGGGGCGTTTGGAAGGCAAACCTCTTGTGGAATTGTTTCGCTTATTGGGGCGTTCGGAATGGAAATCTCTTGCAGAATTGTTTCGCTTATTGGGGCGTTAGGAAGGAATACCTCTTGCAGAATTGTTTCGCTTATTGGGGCGTTCGGAATGGAAATCTCTTGCAGAATTGTTTCGCTTATTGGGGCGTTAGGAAGAAAACCTCTTGTAGGAATTGTTTCGCTTATTGGGGCGTTAAATAGCTACCCTAGGCCCTTAAGCAACGAATGAGAGGTGGTCTCTTTACAGTGCTGAACTTTCCCCAACCCTCCCTAGAACCTTCAAGATGCTCTTCCCCAAACCCCGAAAATTGCTTTAAACAACGAATGGAGTGGGGGTCTGGCCTGGACCCTGAAAATTGCTTTAAACAACGAAGGAACCCCGAAAATTGCCTAAAACAACGAATGGAATGGGGGTCTGGCCCGAAAGTTGCCTAAAACAACGAATGGAATGGGGGTCTGGCCCGAAAATTGCCTAAAACAACGAATGGTTTGCCTGAAACAACGAAGGGAACCCCGAAAATTGCCTAAAACAACGAATGGTACCGAAAATTGCCTAAAACAACGAAGGGTATTAAAGTTTAAATATTCATATGATAAAGAGGCTTAGGGTTTAGGGTTTGGGGTTCAGGATCCCTAAACCCTAAACCCTGAATCACCATTCCCTAAATCTCTGAGTCCCGGAGGTTTCAGGGTTCAGGGCTCAGGGTTCAGGGTTATCCTGAATCACTAGGCCCCGAGCTGGCGTCTTCTTGATCTCGTCGATCTTTGCATTAATCTTCTGCTGGCGTTCCAGCTCCTTTTCCTTGCGCCTGAGGCTCTAAGCTTGACACCCGCCGAAACCCTGCCGTCCTAAACTAAATTTTAGGAAAACCCTAAAACCAAACTTAAAACCCTAAATGCTGATTTATGATTTTCTGTAGCACAAGGCGATGAAGCGTACAATACATGTGCGACCTCTCCCACATGCTTGTATATGTTCAGCGCACAGCTTTCGAGAAATTCACCCCCCCCTCCAGCAAGGAGCGTGATGCTTCGGATTGAAGAATGTCTCTAATGGCTGAATGGCTGCACGTACTCTCAACTGCTAACCCCTAGACCATGAACCCGAATTTCTAAACCCTACACCCTAATCCTAAACCCTACACACCAATCCCAAACCCTACACACTAATCCTAAACCCTACACACTAATCCTAAACCCAGGCTCTAGCTTTCTTCATGACGATGCTTCGGTAGTCGAGGCTTAGGCGCCACAAAAACTCAGCGAGTGAGTAACCACAGCCGAGCAGTAACTCTGAAAAGGACGACAGGAACCCTAAAATCCCAATCTAAACCCTAAGCCCTTGTAGTAAGCAAGATGAAACCTTTCAAGTAGCCATTAGTATAGTAAGCCGATAGAACCATTCCAAGCATCATGTAAGACCATGAGAGTGCTTAAACAGCTCGCAGCAGTCGTTTGCCTCAGGATTTTCTTCTCCTGGCCGTGGCGGTTTAAGGTCTAATTAGGGTTTAACTGAGACTCCCAGAGCCCGGCAACGTTCAACTTCTACCATGCTCCGAAAGCCAAGCCACACCAACCGTAGACTTCTTCAGGGGAAGCAGGGGAATCTGCACGATTTGCAATGCTTCCCTGTCTGCCACAACCAGACGCAGAAGCTTCAGGGTTTATGTTTACGGTTCTGGGAGTTTAGTTATTATTATTACTATTAATATTAATATTAATATTATTATTATTATTATTATTATTATTATTATTATTATTATTATTATTTTTATTATTGTTATTGTTATTATTATTATTATGATTATTATTATTATTATTATTATTATTATTATTTTAATTATTGTTATTGTTATTATTATTATTATTATGATTATTATGATTATTATGATTATTATGATTATTATTATTATTATCATTATTATTATTACTATTATGATTATTATGATTATTATGATTATTATTATTTTTATCATTATTATTATTATTATTGTGATTATTATGATTATTATGATTATTATGATTATTATGATTATTATGATTATTATTATTATGATTGTTATTATTACTATTATTATTATGATGTATCAAGTCTGCCCTCCCTTCCGGAAAATCTCATCGTGAATGCCTGAACCCCCTCTCGCAGAGCCTCGTTCAACACTGCGAAGCTCGTCATGGCTCCGGCTCCTCGCAAATCGGTGCCCTCTGTGATTCGAGGTGTTGTCTCGAGCATGGGTTTTCCAGTGCTGAATGCTTGGAAGCTGGACGGGGCATGAGCTCACAACTACAGAATTGCGCGAACGGCGCGTACACTGAGACGTAGGGTGGCTGTACGCAAAGCCGGTTTCCAATTTGGCTGCAATGGGGAACTGGGTGTGCTGCAGAAAGTGTTGCGTCGCAGGTGCACGACGCAGGATCGTTTAGGGTGCCTTGCGATGGCATGCGTGGCTGATGCCACGCTGCCAAAAACTGGCACTATGCTAATCTCAGATTTTGTTAGACCGGACCTGCATAACTGATGCATAGCCTCGAAACAGCGCTATTTCACGGCGCAGATGCAGACTTGGAAATGCCTCTTTGGCCAACTGTGCAAGCTACAACAAGCGCATGCTCATGCTGTGCTCACACAGTGTCTGTGCGGTCAAGACGTCACTACAAGTTACAACCTCGCCGGAGCGTACTGAGGGACTGCAAGGGACTGCTGTAGAAACGCATCCGCGCCGTTTTGAGTTCAATTGAGACCATTTGACACTTTGCAGTTGCTCGGTTCACACCTCGGACCATGTCAATCTGTCGCCGATATTAGAACCCTAGGGGTCCAAGTACCTGATAATTATCAGATACTCTCCCATATAGGAACCTACATCATTACTATCCTACACCCGAGTACCAATTGTTGGGTCCTTTGGACCCTTAGGGGAAGGGCTGTGCGAACTTGTCTTGAGTTCCTGGCCTCGGGCATTAAAACCGGAAGGCCGCAGAATCTCGAGCGCAACAAACTCGACTGAAGCTTTTGAGTGTAAGTGGTAGGAAGTAATAGCAGTAGTAGTATCAGCAGCAGCAGCAGGAGGAGGAGTAGTAGTGGTAGTAGTAGTAGTAGTAGTGGTAGTAGTAGTAGTAGTAGTAGTAGTAGTAGTAGTAGTAGTAGTAGTAGTAGTAATAATAGTAAGTAGTAGTAGCAGTAGTAGTAGTAGTAGTAGTAGTAGTAGTAGTAGTAGTAGTAGTAGTAGTAGTAGTAGTAGTAGTAGTAGTAGTAAGTAATAGCAGTAGTAGTATCAGCAGCAGCAGGAGTAGTAGTAGTAGTAGTAGTAGTAGTAGTAGTAGTAGTAGTAGTAGTAGTAGTAGTAGTAGTAGTAGTAGTAGTAGTACTAGTGGTGGAGTCCTGACCAAGGCACTGTTTTTCACAGCTCTTCTCCTGCGTGGGCCATCGGGAGTGTGGGATTCGGGATCTGGCGTTGGCTTTGCCCCGCTCGTACTACCACTGCGGCTACTGCTACCACCACCCCAGCCTTTGCTTGGCTGAGTCGGGATGTCAACGTCTCGTCCGGTCAACAGCCGGCTTATTCCTGACGAGCAGTGCTGTCAGTGGGAAGGTCTAGATACCAACTTCTTGCTGGAGCCACGGCAGCGCAAAGCTAGCGCACTGAGACAACTGCGGCGACTACAAATGCCACGAGGAAGCCTTAGCCACATCGCATGCTAGCACTGCTGCACCGCAGCCTTCAAGCTACTAGTGCCAGTCATGCAACGGTTGCCAAGTAATACTGACGCGACCCTGTCGTTTCTTTATGCGACTATATACGACCATACGCCGACGAGAGCGGCGATGAACGAAGCTTGGGGCCTCGATGCCGACAACTAGCACTTTTTTATGTGAATGTGATTGGTAGGCAAGTGACAGTGAGTTCAATCCACATGACACATCCCATTGACCTCGAGCAGACAGTATTGTCCGGAGCGCATCTTCATCCGGTTGGGATGCTGCTGTGTAGAACGAGCAACCAACCATCGCAGCATCTAGTATACATTGCAGGATCTGCACTGGGATGACGTGTCGAAATCGAGGATTTCTTGCGCAGTTTCATGTAGAAGCCCTGAACCCTGAAACCCTTGTACACCCTAAACCTTGAAGCCGAAACCGCAGGATCGGCGTACCGCCAAACCCCACACGCTTAGCTCAACTCCCAGGGAACAACAGAAGCCGCAAGTTGCAACGATAAGTCGATGTCGGTATCTAGACTACAAGCGTGAAATAATGAAAAGCCTTGAAGGAGCTTGGCCACATGTGATGCATACTACAGTGCGAGCATCAGGCCCTACAAAGATTCACCAAAGGATCGGCGTAAGAACTCCGACAAGAGAACGGGCTGTAGTCATTCCGGGCCAGAAGCGCTAGAGTGCTAGAGTTCAAAAGTCCTAGAGACCATCCGCTTCGTCTTCGATATTGCCGCACCTGTCTGTGGCGGTAAGTACATCTGGCCTGTGAATTGCAGGTGCTCTGACCACCGAAGACAAGCAGACATAGGCCCTGCAAGAAAGCAGAAGGAGATCCGCAGCATCCCGAAACGTAGACCCAAAGCACGCCACCTGAAACTTATGGCCGGAACGACGGGTGTTGCCCGAAGCTCATTGAATCAAACTCCAGATCCACAATTCTAAACCAAATTGGGACCATCACACATCGCCAGTCTTGCCTGCAGGAGGATGCGGCAGCTAGCCGATGGTTGCTGAAGGGATAGGGACCTGCGCATGATCCGCCCAAGTTTTTGGCGAGGAACGCCACAAGTGTGGGGCCGCTCTGTTTCGCGACCGAGCGCTCAAGGTTCGAAGTCGATGCACACATCTCAAAATCGAACCTTAAACTTTAAGTGTCGGCTTGCCTATCCTCAACATGGACCTTTACCTTTGCTTCACTTCAAAATTCATTAACCAAGCTTATCAGCACAGCAAAAAAGCAAAGGCAGATGACCTTCTTTCACTCATCCCCAAATCATCCAACCCATCGTGCACAGTCAAGTTGTAGGAGACTGGGGTGCGCTATCGGAAAGGCTTCAGAGCTTTAGCCCCACTCACCTCAACCCTAAACATAAACCCTATAAGCCCTATAAACCAAATAGACCCTATGAATCCTAAGCCCTATAACTCCTAAACCCTAGATAAACCTCAACCCCAAGCCCAAAACCGTTGGCACCTGCTCCAAACCCTAAATCCTAACCCCTAAACCCTCTAAACCCCCTAAACCCCCCACAACCCTAAAAGCTTCCCAAGCACAAGAGCCCAGAGCCTGGAATCCTCTCGGCCAACGACCCAAGGAGTACTATAGGGGCCTTAATAGCTAGAATAGGGCTCCTTTAAAGGGATCCCTAACTTTAAGGGTTACTATAGGGATCTATAAGGTTACTATAGTATATCGGCCTCAATGGTTAGAATAGGGTATTGGGGCCTTTTATACTATACTGAAAATAAGGAGCCCCCAGTTGTAGGGTATTCAGGCCACTGCATTACCCCGGCTCTCTGGGTTCAAAGCCGAGCCGAACCCCACCTCCCGGCTGCCTAAACTACCCTACTTTTTGTAGGGCCCCTACAAAGCCCATATTCTTGGTATGTCTAGTAAGAGCCTCCAAAACAGCACGTTTTGTTCCTTTACAGGTTTCACTGAAGGGCTTTGTTTGCGGGGCTCCTTCATGGGGATATGTCACAAAACGACGTCAAAGCCAATAGCTGGACTGGGATTTCTTTGCAGGGTCCACGGGGTTACGCCGAGGGCTATTCGGGGTTTAGCGGAGGGCCTGAAGTAATTACAATATGTTTTGATGGTATACTATAAAATACATCCAAAAAATAGATAAATACATATATATATATATGTACATATGTTACATGCATATGTAGTGATGGAAGTACTGTAACGGTAACGTACCGCCCCAGTCATAAATCTTTAGTTACCGCGGCCAAGGCAGCCACCTCACCACTTTGGAGGTTGCAGCTCTGGAGGCTGCGCGGGGATGGCTTGAAGCAATGGTGAAGCTGCGGTCGCGTGTAGGGACCCTAATATAGCACCCTAAGTTGGATCCTTATGATAAGGACCCCAAAATATGGTAGTAGGCCCGAACCTCGTGGGCTAAAATCCCTAAATCCGAGATACTGACTGCCCCGAGTCCATTCCAACTGTGACGGGCGGCTTGAGGAACCAGGACGGAAACCCAGGAAAGGGAGGGTTTAGGGTTTAGGGTTTAGGGTTTAGGTCGCAAAGACAAGCTAGCACAGTGCGCTTTCTCGATTGGCTCTCCGGTTTCAAAGTTTCGACTTCTCCGGTAACAGCTGAAGGCCCGCGGACGAATTGCAACGTACAATGCCCTGGCCGTGCTAACCGAAACCCTAAACCTGACTTCACACCTTAGTACTCCCGAAACCCTCAAATTCTAGAGCTTACACCCAAAACCCTAAACCCCTAAACCCTAAAAGCCATACACTAATTACTAATCTCTCCATGACCGAAGCGGGCATCCTATGAGCACTGAGCAGCCCCGTTTTGTGCCCGCTCGAACGACCCCGGCGGAGTTCGGCCCGAAACCTCCAAGCATCGGCCTCCCGAACGTTTTGGCTTTTTGGAAGAGGATTCAGGAGTTTGGGGATTTGGGGGTTCAGGAGTCTAGGGGTTTGGGGGTTTGGGATTACGGGTTGCTCATGTCTAGAGTAAATAGCGGTGTAAGGGTTTAGGGACTTGTCGGGTTTTCAATGCGTCAACGTCTTATAGTCTGAACTGCCTGGATTTTGGAGTTGCATGCGCACCTAAACTTGCAACTTTCGTTCAACACGACATTCCTCAGCCCGTCAGTATCCATGCCCGAGTCCACAGCAACTGTTTTTTGAGTCGCTCGTAAGCATGGATGGTTCCGTCTTCTCAAGTTCCTATGAGGTTCGGTCTCATCAGGGGCAGTTCTCCGTTGAGGACCCCAGCGGGAACAACTGTAGGGAACCACCGGCATGAATGCACGCATCTAGGATTGCACTGCTGCGAATCAGAGTTTCGGGTTTGGCAGACTTCGAACTTCGACGCCTTACCGTCAAAGCATGCACTATGTTTTGGGTTTAAGGTTGGATTTAGGTTTCTGGGGTCTCTACAATGCTTTACACATAGATCTACTGGGGTTGCGGAGATGGCCATACTAAAGTTCTAAAGTTCTGCAGGATTACGCGAGGCAGGGCTATTCCTACATATAAAAGCTGCCTGCAGCCGGGGCTCCTTGGTTAGATCCGCCGCTCAAGATAAAACAAGCAAGTTAGATGCCAATCCTCGAACCTTGAGAAGCCTGTGCCAGCCTCTTAGGCGTTGACGGTATTCTCATGTGCTGCCTCTCCAGGCAACTGGTGCAAACTCGGGCTCTGCTGCCTGGTTCTTAGTAAGTTTAAAGGCTTTGGCCGGCGTTTAGACACTGCTCGTTTCCTGTCCTTTCTAACACTCCTGCATTGAATCATAAACGTCCTGCCGCCACTTTGAGCGGGGCACGGCGTGAACGCAAGAGCCAAGAGCCACCAAGTCCTCTGCATCGCAGTCACGCGAATGCAAAGTCACCCGGCGCTCAGGGTGGGCAACTGCAGGCTTCGGCAGTTCGGAAAAATCACACTTGGCGCCGATGATAAATCTTGAGGAAACTCAGCTCGCAAATGACCTGATGCAGGCCAAGACTCAAAGCATGTCTGCGTGAGCTTCATCCGTGGAGCTATCCATGAAGTGCTTGCGGTGCGAGTCAATTTTGTCAATTTTGCGTTGAAAAATGTCTTGCATCACCTTCCCGATCCATGTTGCCATAGCCTGGATCACATGGCTGTTGACTTGCTTGAAGCCCACGGTTTGTTGCATGAGCATCTTTATATTGATCTCGTCGTCCTCTTTCCATGCTCTCGCATTCGCTGCGTCAACACGGCTTACCGACTGCGTCACTCGGCCGATGCCGTCGCTTCCGCGACCTACCTCCAGCTCTAGAGACTCGGAAGCTTGCTGGGGCATTGCAAAGCTCACCTCAATCCCCGTTTTCGATGCCACGAACTGTTCGTAAACGGTCCAGATGCGGGTCAAGTACACCGGTGCGTCCCAAGTGTCTAGGATCGCAACCATACGCCCGATCCGTCGCAAGTTGCTCTCGACAACTTCCTCGAGATTGTCGCTTCCTGAGCCAGTGGCCTCCACGATAATCCTAAATTGATTGTTGACGAAGAAGCACATGTAAAAGAAAACATCCTCCGGCACCAGCTCGGACATGCTCTTTCTGTGCATGTCTAGAGCGCTTGTGATTTGCGACAAGTGGTAGCGCCACGTCCAAGACATGAAGTGAGTTTGCTGCCGACGGTGGTTACGTGGAATCCAGTCGACGAGAGCGCAGCCCTGTCGACCATCGCGGGGACAGATCACCTTCTGCCCTATCGGGTCATCTGACAGCCAGAAGGCGTCCTTCATCTCATTGAAGGTGGGGTCGCTTTGATCCGTGCGCTGTTGTGCTAAGTCACTGAAGTCGGCCGACAGCAGGTAGCTCATGCTCACTCCGCCTGTCTGGCTCTGAAGCTTGCGGAACTCCTGGATGCGCTCGGGTACTGTGGCCTTGTCCACCCCAAGCCCACAGAGCAACCTCTCGTAGTGAGTGGCTGTATCTGGGCCTTCATCCCACATGTCCTCAAACAACTGTGACATCAGCTTCTGGGCTTTCGCAGCCCTCCTCCTGCGACGGTATGAGACCACGAAGCCCAAGATCACCATGAGCAGAGTAAGGCACACTGCAGCTGCAGGCAAGTGCCACCAGGCACAGCCTTCCTCCACAACAAGGAGAGGCCACTGACAGGGCAAACATGCCTGCGAACCTCGCCGTGCATACTGGGAAGCGGAACAAGCCATGCACTTGCTTTGGTCCGGAAACGGCACCTCGTTCGCACCACACTCTTCGCAACTGTCAGAATCTGCCAAGGAGAAGCGCCCTGCCCGGCAGGCTCTGCAGCCAAGTCCGTTCTCTGCCCTTGTTCTGCCAGGGCTGCACGGTGACACGTCAAAAAGTGCTGCGCCATCGAACATGCCGACGGTACTGGCACCAGAGACATTCCACTGCTGTAGGTCCTGGTTGAAGACACTGGCAGACTTGAACATGAAGCTCATGACTTCGACATGTGAGGTGTCCCATCCTCCGATATCCTGGTCGAACTGGCTGGCGTTGTTGAACATGGAAGACATGTCTCTGACGCTTGAGGTGTTCCACCTGCCAATGTCCTGGTTGAAGGCAGCCGCAGAGTAAAACATCTCCTCCATGCTTGTCACTCTTGAGGTGTCCCAACTGCCAATGTCCTGGTTGAAGGCACTGGCGCCCCTGAACATCGAATCCATGCTTATGACGCTTGAAGTGTCCCAACTGCCAATGTTCTGGTTGAAAGCACTGGCGTTCCAGAACATCCAAGACATTCTTGTGACGCTTGAAGTGTCCCAGGTACCCATGTCCTGGTTGAAGGCACTGGCGCCCCTGAACATCGAACTCATGCTTGTGACGCTTGAAGTGTCCCAACTGTCAATGTCCCGGTCGAAAGCACTTGCATAGGAGAACATGGCATGCATGTTCGTGACCCTTGAGGTGTTCCAGCTGGTAATATCCTGGTTGAAGGCAATGGCCCCGTAGAACATGCCGGCCATGCTTGTCACTCTTGAGGTGTCCCAACTGCCAATGACCCGGTTGAAGGCGTAGGCCTCGGCGAACATGCCAGCCATGCTTGTCACTCTTGAGGTGTCCCACCCGCCAATGTCCTGGTTGAAGGAGGTTGCAAGGCAAAACATTCGATTCATGCGGGTGACGCTTGAGGTGTCCCACCTGCCAATGTCCTGGTTGAAGGCACTTGACTCTCCCCACGTGCCCCTGAACATGGCAGCCATGCTCGTCACTCTTGAAGTGTCCCAACTTCCAATATCTTGGTTGAAAGCAGCTGACTTCCTGAACATGCGGGCCATGCTTGTCACTCTTGAGGTGTCCCAGCTGCCAATGTCCTGGTTGAAGGCAACCGCAGAGTCAAACAACCCCTCCATGTTTGTCACTCTTGAGGTGTCCCAGCTGCCAATGTCCTGGTTGAAGCTACTGGCGCCCCTGAACATCGAATCCATGCTTGTGACGCGTGAAGTGTCCCAACTGCCAATGTCCTGGTTGAAGGCAATAGCCCCTCTGAACATCCTGTCCATGCTTGTTACTCTTGAGGTGTCCCACCTGCCAATGTCCTGGTTGAAGGCAGCTGCGCGGCTAAACATGTCAGTCATGTCGGTGACGGCTGATGTATCCCACATGCTTATATCTTCATTGAAGGCCGAAACCATGAAAAGCCCGCTCATGTTTGTCACCAGAGACACATTCCAGTCTACCACCTCACCGTACTTTAGGATTATCTCTGACCTTTCTGATGCATTCACATGGCTTGCTTGCCATCTTGCTACCATATCATGCAGCTCGTGGGAGCTGTGGAATCCAGCTTTAGATGAGCTGTTGTCGCTAGAGTCGCTGTAGCTGTCGCCGTAGGAGGTGCCTAAGGCAGCATCGGCTGAGGTCACGACCAGCTGAAGTTGTCGCAGCATGCCCACAGGCTGTTCACTTGGCCAGAATGGCACCGCGGAGCCCATCTCGCTTGAGCCGTGGGCGTTCCGCAAGAGGGCCGGGGGCCGATGTCTCAGCAAGGCCGTGTCACAATCTCACCCCGCCAACCCCAAAGCACACACCTCCTAAGCCCTTTTCAGGCATTTCTGCAAGCAGGGTTGCCTTTCTTGCAAGCTGTCGTGGTCTTGCACAAACGATCTCCTGCAGCTTGTTGCGGTGCAGATTACCCAGCAACGACCGCATCGGTTCAAAATCAGTGTTTCTTGTTTTTTCGCGACAAGTCTTATGTGTCAGACGTACGCCAACCGTCAAGTGCATCCATGCACGGGACAACAGAAAAACATGCGGCCATCTGCGTCATCGTCTTCGCCATCCACGTCCTCATGCTCGTGTTCATGAGTGGCTCATCAGCATCACCATCATTACAATCGACATGAATTGCCATCTCCATCTCGAAGCTCAAAAAACCTAGGCTCTGCCCCGACCTGGAAGCGCTGGTGAGTGGCTGGAAGGTTGCAGGTCGCGCGGGGTCGGAGCCTGAAACCAGGTTCACCAACCTTCACCCTCGCGATGGATTGATTCAAAAACTGCATAATTGGCAAACACTTCTGATATCTTAAGGGCAAAAGTCTGAGTGTCGAACCTGACGGCCAGAAATCCCACAGAAGACCCGCAGAAGAAGATTCCGCTCGGCTAGGAAGACAGAGGTGAAAGTGACGGCATATCGACGCAGATGTGCGTAATGTTGATGATGCGTGCCAGATGTCGTACTGTTGACTTCATTGTTCATGGTCTACACGTCTACACTCAACCGATGCTGAGAAAAAATCTAGCCATGCCGGGCGTGGGGCTTGCAGAGCAGCATCCTGAAAGCCTGAAAACATCACACAGCACGGGAACCGACACTGAAAGTCTAGGCTGTGTTCGCAAATCTTGACCGAAATGAAAGGATTGCAACAGTGCTTGGTGCAAACCACTTCTAGCCACACATTGCGCTTAGAACGGCCTGAGCAGGTGTCGGGAGGAAATCCAATAATAAGGAGAACGTCAGCCGCCTGCACATGCGTGCGAGGTAGCCTTAGAGAGTTGTTCCGGAGCAGCAGCAAACTTTCTAGGAGAATGGGGATGCGTCTGGTCAACTTAAGGGGCACCACGAGGTGGAGGCAAGTCGCCAGGTCGCAGGGAAGGAACAACAGTGAAGGAGAGGCAATCTAGGCATGACGCACAGCAAGGTCAATTTTGCAAGGCAGGAGGGAACATTAGGGGCAAATCAACCAAGGACAACGCAGCATGCTGAGCAACCCCTGAAAACTCCGGTAGACGGTAGATGTGAAGTCGTTGCTTTGCTGTCACGTCAAACGGAAATCCACAGTCCCTATTCCAATTTGGCCATGAATGTGTCGGTTGCTGACCTGCGCGTTCCGCCAGGCTAGGTAGACCATGAATGCGGCATTGACACAACTAGCGGAAGATTGACATGCGAGGCGTGAGGCTAGCTTTGCGCGTTTGTTAAATTTTCGGTCGAATTGCATAAGCACCCAGATGAAGATCTTCACACTCAAGTATATGAAAACATACCGGAATGCTGGTGCGGCACAGGCTTCTGATGCAAAGGTGACGTCGCAGATATGTATATACATACAGTATATGTATATATATATATATATACACATACACACACACATACACATCCGCACAGCTGCTCGGATCTTGGCTGATATATAAGTATTCTACACTATCTATCTATCTATCTACAGCTCTCTCTCTCTCTCTCTATATATATATATATATATATATATATATACGCGTATGTATATTTCACAGGGTTGCACAGCATACTATACTTAAACTTCAACCGGTATGTATAGAGCAGGACTCTTACGTATTCGAAAAGTAGGGGGCTGCCAAGTAGGGGATACGGACCGTACGGACCCTAACTTTGTCTAAATCCGCCTCTCAATCTCAATGTAAGCTGGTTAGAAGCCACTCCTCAAACAGAAAGAATCCTGTAGCCGCGTCTCTCTTCTGGAACTTGTAGGCCGCGCCGACAGTCTCGTGAGTTGCCTCGCCGGGCAATTGGTGCAAACTCGGGCTTTGCGGGTTTCTAGTTAAGTCTGTAGCAGGCATTGTGCTCGTTTCGCTGTAATGCTTTTGCATGCCGCCACTTTGAGCGGGGCATGGCGAGAAGGCAAGGGCCCACAAAAAGTCCTTCACATCGCAGTTGCGCGAATGCAAAGTCACCGGGCGCTCAGTGTGGGCAATTGCAGGCCTCGGCCTTTTGGAAAAATCACCCTTGGCCCCAATGGGACATCATAGGCAAGTTGCTAATCAAATGCGAACTGTGGTCCTTGGAGTCTCTGCGTAAGTTTCCTCTGCAAGGTGCATCTCGGTCAAGTTTCTGCGATGCGAGTCAACGTCGCGCTGAACTTTGTCTCGCACCACCTTCCCGAACCATCTCACCATAACTCCAATCACGTGCGTGTTGACTTGCTTGAAGCCCACCGTCTGTTGTATAAGCCTCTTCACCTTGATCTCGTCATCTTCCTTCCATGCCCTCGCATTCGCCGCGTCAACACGTCTCACCGACTGCGTCACTCGGCCGATGCCGTCGCTTCCGCGACCTACCTCCAGCTCTAGAGACTCGGAAGCTTGCTGGGGCATTGCAAAGCTCACCTCAATCCCCGTTTTCGATGCCACGAACTGTTCGTACACAGTCCAGATGCGGGTTAAGTACACCGGTTCATCCCAGGTGTCTAAGATGGCGATCATGCGGCCGATTCGTCGCAGGTTGCTCTCGAAGACATCCTCGAGATTGTCGCTTCCTGAGCCGGTGGCCTCTACGATAATCCTAAATTGATTGTTGACGAAGAAGCACATGTAGAAGAAAATGTCCTCCGGCATCAGCTCGGACATGCTCTTTCTGTGCATGTCTAGAGCGCTTGTGATTTGCGACAGGTGGTAGCGCCATGTCCAGGACATGAAGTGAGTTTGCTGTCGACGGTGGTTGCGTGGGATCCAGTCGACGAGCGCACAGCCCTCTCGACCATCACGTGGACAGATCACCTTCTGTCCTATCGCGTCATCTGACAGCCAGAAAGCATCTTTCATGTCATTGAAGGTGGGGTCGCTTTGACCCGTGCGCCGTCGTGCTAAGTCACGGAAGTCGGCTGAAAGGAGGTAGCTCATGCTCACTCCGCCTGTCTGGCTCTGAAGCTTGCGGAACTCCTGGATGCGCTCGGGTACTGTGGCCTTGTCCACCCCAAGCCCACAGAGCAACCTCTCGTAGTGAGTGGCTGTATCTGGGCCTTCATCCCACATGTCCTCAAACAACTGTGCCATTACCTTCTCGGCTTTCGCAGCTCTCCTCCTTCGACGGTATGAGACCATGCAGCCCAAGATCGTAAGGATCATAAGGAGGCACCCTGCAGCTGCAGGCAAGTGCCACCAGGCACAGCCTTCCTCCACAACAAGGAGAGGCCACTGACAGGGCAAACATTCCTGCGAACCTCGCCGTGCATACTGGGAAGCGGAACAAGCCATGCACTTGCTTTGGTCCGGAAACGGCACCTCGTTCGCACCACACTCTTCGCAACTGTCAGAATCTGCCAAGGAGAAGCGCCCTGCCGTGCAGGCTCTGCAGCCGAGCCCGTTCTCTGCCCTTGCTCTGCCAGCCCTGCACGGTGACACGTCAAAAAGTGCTGCGCCATCGAACATGCCAGACGTGTATTTGACTTTTGAGGTATCCCATGCTGTGATATCCTGGTCGAAGTGTCTGGCATCAGAAAACATCCCATGCATGTCTGTGACGCTTGAGGTGTTCCACCTGCCAATGTCCTGGTTGAAGGCACTGGCGCCCTTGAACATCGAAACCATGCTTGTGACGCGTGAGGTGTCCCAGCTGCCAATGTTCTGGTTGAAAGAACTGGCGCGCCAGAACATCCCAACCATGCTTGTGACGCTTGAAGTGTCCCAGCTACCAATATCCTGGTTGAAGGCACTGGCGCCGAAGAACATCGACTCCATGGTTGTGACGCTTGAAGTGTCCCACCTGCCAATGTCCTGGTTGAAATCAAACGCCCAGTCGAACATCGACTCCATGCTTGTCACTCTTGAGGTGTCCCAACTGCCAATGTCCTGGTTGAAGGCAAAGGCGACAGTAAACATCCTGTGCATGCTTGTTACTCTTGAGGTGTCCCACTTGCCAATGTCCTGGTTGAAGGCATGCGCACTTCCAAACATGCCATCCATGCTTGTCACTCTTGAGGTGTCCCAGCTGCCAATGTCCTGGTTGAACGCCACTGCACCGACAAACATGGCAGCCATGCTTGTGACGCTTGCGGTGTCCCACCTGCCAATGTCCCGGTTGAAGGAACCTGCAGCGGCAAACATGCTAGCCATGCTTGTCACTCTTGAGGTGTTCCAGCTGCCAATGCTCTGGTTGAAGGCATGGGCCCCGTAGAACATGGCAGCCATGCTTGTCACTCTTGAGGTGTCCCAACTACCAATGTCTCGGTTGAAGGCATAGGCAAAGGTGAACATGCCAGCCATGCTTGTCACTCTTGAGGTGTCCCACCCGCCAATGTCCTGGCTGAAGGCATTTGCATCGTGGAACATGTCGGTCATGTCGGTGACGGCTGATGTATCCCACCTGCTAATATCGTCGTTGAATTCTGAAAGCATAAAAAGCCCACGCATGTTCGTGACCATAGACACATTCCATTCCGCGATCTCCCCGTACTTCAGGACTATCTTTGAGCGTTCCGCTGCGTTCACTGCGCTTGCTTGCCATCTTGCCACCATATCACGCAGCTCATGGAGGCTTCGGAATGCAGCCCTAGATGAGCTATTGTCACTGAAGCATCCGAGGCTTGCCCTCTCACAGTACTTCAACCCGGCATCGACGCATTGGATCTCCCACTGCTCGTTGCAAGGGCAACCGTCCTCTGCCTTGGCACACGTCACCGACGTCAAGCTCTCACCCCAGTCGACCTCCCCTGCTGCATTGTAGGCGTAATCCAAGCAGTCCAGCTCACCGATGCGACAACCTTCGAAGCTGCCATAGCTGCTGTAGCCATAGGAGTAGGTGCCTAAGGCGACATCCGGAGAGATCACGACCAGCAGCAGTTTCTGCAGCATGACCGGAGAGATCACTTGGCTAACATTGCAAGGTCGAGCCATGCGTTGAGCCGTGGCACAAACACTAGCTCGCGAAGCCTTTATCATCCATCTCTGTCGGTCGGGCTGCATCGCCTGCGGCTGACGTGGTTTTTTGCATACAAAAATCCCCGACTACCTACTGCGGATCTTTTGAGCTTCGGTCCGAGAGCCAGGCTTCAGCCATTGCAAGCGCCAGCCACTGCATGGGGGACCTGCCAGGATTCCACAACTGTTGATCCTCCAAGCAGACAATAAACCCTAAACTCTATAGATCCCTTTAAGGAACCCTTTAGATCCCTTTAAGGACCCTTACTAAGTCCCCTGATCCTCCAAGTAAGCCTTACACCACGAGACCTAAAACCCTAAACCCTAAACCCCAAACCCTAAAACCCTAAACCCTAAACCCCCCTCAAGTCGCGTCCTCGTCGTCCGAAGCATCAGCCCATTTGCCGGTGTGAGCGAGCTCGGAACAAGCAGGGTTTAGGGATCTAAGGCTCAGAGTTTAGGGTTGAAGGTTTAGGGTTTAGAGTTTAGGGTTGAAGGTTTAGTATTTAGGGTGTCGGGATTAGGGTCTACTGCTTAGGGTGGGGCTGGGTTGCGTAGGGGTTGTATAGTCTTGTTTCAGGTATTTGACAGGCTCTATGGGGGTTGGATTGGGCGTTGGGAAGGGTCGAGGTTAAGGTTTTAAACGCTTTCAACTCTGACCCTAAAACCCCTCAGTATTTTAGCTTCAGGTGGGGCTATCAGCCCTGAAAAAGGGTGCTTGTCATGGGCTTCAAGGGTGTCGCCATTTCTTTTGGTTGGCGTAGCCTGGAGAAGTTCAGACAAACTTGAGACGTTTGCTTTAGGTTGTCAGGATGTGACCTCTTCCACGGCTTCGGTGTCAGCGGCTTGTTGGTTTCAGGACAGAGAAGTCACGGGACAAAGACAGGACGGAAGGTTCATGCAGGCATGGTTCGTCTGAAAGTGCAAAGCCCAAAAACTTTTTGGGGGGTTCATGCATTCGGGGAGCACTCAGAGTGCAGGGCCGTGTGGACAAGCTCAATCCCTACAGTAGAAGCCAGAAAGTTGGAATATCATTATCGTAACCCCTTTAAGGTAAACTATAGGGGATCCTACCATTAATCCATATTCCAACTTTCTGGAGTTCCCTTTAGTTGCTTAAAGCCAGAAGGAAATCCTAAAACCTGACCCCGCACCCCTCTGCCCTCAGCCCTGGGTCCTAAACCTGAGAACCCCCGAGCCCCCGGCACCCAAGAGATTTCGGGGTTTAGGGTTTAGGGTTTGGGGTTTAGGGTTTAGGGTTTGGGGTTTAGGGTTTAGGGTTTGGGGTTTAGGATCCCTAAACCCTAAACCCTGAATCACCATTCCCTCAATCTCTGAGTCCCGGAGGTTTCAGGGCTTTGGGCTCAGGGTTCAGGGATATCCTGAATCACTAGGCCCCGAGCTGGCGTCTTCTTGATCTCGTCGATCTTTGCATTAATCTTCTGCTGGCGTTCCAGCTCCTTTTCCTTGCGCCTGAGGCTCTAAGCTTGACACCCGCCGAAACCCTGCCGTCCTAAACTAAATTTTAGGAAAACCCTAAAACCAAACTTAAAACCCTAAATGCTGATTTATGATTTTCTGTAGCACAAGGCGATGAATCGTACAATACATGTGCGACCTCTCCCACATGCTTGTATCTGTTCAGCGCACAGCTTTCGTGAAATTCAACCCCCCCTCCAACATGGAGCGTGATGCTTCGGATTGAAGAATGTCTCCAATGGCTGAATGGCTGCATGTACTCTCAACTGCCATTCCCTAGACCATGGACCCGAATTCCTAAACCCTACACCCGAATCCTAAACCCTACACCCGAATCCTAAACCCTACACACCAATCCTAAACCCTACACACCAATCCTAAACCCAGGCTCTAGCTTTCTTCATGACGATGCTTCGGTAGTTTAGGCTTAGGCGCCAGAGGAACTCAGCGAGTCCCCACAGCCGAGTAGTAACTCTGAAAAGGACGACAGGAACCCTAAAACCCCAATCTAAGCCCTAAGTCCTTGTAGCCAATGCAACCTTTCAAGTAGCCATTAGTATAGTAAGCCGATAGAACCATTCCAGGCATCATGTAAGACCATGAGAGTGCTTCAACAGCTCGCAGCAGTCGTTTGCCTCAGGATTTTCTTCTCCTGGCCGTGGCGGTTTAGGGTCTAATTAGGGTTTAACTGACACTCCCAGAGCCGGCAACGCCCAAATGCTACCATGCTCCGAAAGCCAAGCCACACCAACTGTAGACTTCTTCAGGGGAAATCGTGCAGTTACTTGCTGCAGATACCTGTGCGACAACTCTAAAATAGTATCTCAGTGGTTATCTGGCACCTCGCAGGGGAAGCAGGGGGATCTGCACGGTTTGCAATGCTTCCCTGTCTGCCACAACCAGACGCAGAAGCTTCAGGGTTTATGGGCTTTACGGTTCTGGGAGTTTAGGGTTTAGGGTTTAGGGATATATCAAGTCTGCCCTCCCTCCCGGAAAATCTCATCGTGAATGCCTGAATCCCCTCTCGCAGAGCCTCGTTCAACACTGCGAAGCTCGTCATGGCTCCGGCTCCTCGCAAATCGGTGCCCTCTGTGATTCGAGGTGTTGTCTCGAGCATGGGTTTTCCAGTGCTGAATGCTTGGAAGCTGGACGGGGCATGAGCTCACAACTACAAAACTGCGCGAACGGCTTGTACACTGAGACGTAGCGTGGCTGTACGCAAAGCCGGTTTCCAATCTGGCTGCAATGCGGAACTGGGCCTGCTACAGAAAGTGTTGCATCGTAGGTGCAGGACGCAGGATCGTTTAGGGTGCCTTACGATGGCATCGCTGATGCCAGGCTGCAAAATCCTCGAAATATGCTAATCTCAGATCTTGCTAGACAGGACATGCATAACTGATGCATAGCCTCGAATCAGCGCGATTTCAGGGCGAAAATGCACACTAGGGAATACCTCCTTCGCGACTGTGTAAGCTACGGTAAGCGCATGCTCATGTTGAGCTCACACAGTGTCTGTGCGGTCAAGACGTCACTAAAAGTTACAACCTCGCCGAAGAATACTAAGGGACGGCTGCAGAAACGCATCCGAGCGTTGGAGTTCAGTTGAGACCATTTGACGCTTTGCAGTTGCTCGGTTCACACCTTGGACCATGTCAATCTGTCGCCGATATTAGAACCTTAGGGGTCCAAGTACCTGATAATTATCAGATACTCTCCCATATAGGAACCTACATAATTACTATCCTACACCCGAGTACCAATTGTTTCGTCCTTTGGACCCTTGGGGAAGGGCTGAGCGAACTTGTTTTGAGTTCTGGCCTCGGGCTTTAAACCCGGAAGGCTGCAGAATCTCGAGCGCAACAAACTCGACTGAAGCTTTTGAGTGCAAGTAGTAGTAGTAGCAGGAGGAGGAGGAGGAGGAGGAGGAGGAGGAGTACTAGTAGTGGAGTCCTCACCAAGGCACTGTTTTTCACAGCTCTTCTCCTGCGTGGGCCATCGGGAGTGTGGGATTCGGGATCTTGTGTTGGCTGTGCCACGCTCCTACTACCACTGCGGCTACTGCTACTACCACCACCCCAGCCTTTGCTTGGCTGAGTCGGGATGTCAACGTCTCGTCCGGTCAACAGCCGGCTTATTCCTGACGAGCAGGCAAAGAAACGGGCTGGCAGTAGGAACGTCTAGATACCAACTCCTTGCTGGAGCCAAGGCAGCAGCAAAAGCTAGCGCACTGAGACGACTGCGGCGACTACAATTGCCACAAGGAAGCCTCAGCCACATTGCATGCCAGCACCCAGTCATGCAACGGTTGCCAAGTCTCCATGCCGACAAACAGCAATTTTCTGATCTATGTGAATGTGATTCGCAGGCAAGTGAATTCAATCCACATGACACATCCACATTATCCTCGACCAGATAGTATAGTCTGGAGTGCAACTTCAGGTTGCATCGGTTGGTATGCGGCTGTGCAAAACGAGCAACCAACCATCGCAGCATCTACATTGCAGGATCTGCACTGCGAAGACGTGTCGAGATCGAGGTTTTCTTGCGCAGTTTCATGCAGAAGCCCTAAACCCTGAACCCGAAACAGTAGGATCAGCGTACTGCCAAACCCCACGCCCTTAGCTCAACTCCCAGGGAACAACAGAAGCCGCAACTTGCAACGACAAGCCGATGTCGGTACCTAGACTATAAGCGTGCGATGATCGCAAAAAGCCTGAAGGAGCTTGGCCACACGTGATGCATACTACAGAACGAGCATCAGCCCCTACAAAGATTCACCAAAGGATCGGCGTATGCAAATCCGACAAGAGAAAAGGAGCGCGAACTGTAGTCATTCCGGGCCAGAAGCACTAGAGTGCTATAGTTCAAGAGTCCTAGAAGCCATCCGTTTCGTCTTCGATATTGCTGCACTTGTCTGTGGCGGTAATTGCATCTTGCCTGTGGATTGCATGTGCTCTGACCACCGAACAGCAAGCAGACATAAGCCCTGCAAGAAAGCAGAAGGAGAACCGCAGCATCCCAAACGTAGATCCAAAGCACGCCAATTGAAACTGTTGGCCGGAACGATGGATGTTGCCCGAAGCTCACTGAATCAAACTCCACCTCCTCAGTTCTAAACCGAATTGGGACCATCAAACATCCCAACTCTTGCCTGCAGGAGGATGCGGCAGCTAGCCGATGGTTGCTGAAGGGGATAGGGACCTGCGCGTGATCCGCCCACGGTTTTGGCTAGGGACGGCACAAGTCTGGAGCCCGTCTGTTTCGCGACCGAGCTCTCAAGGTTCGGAGGATGCTCAATGCACGGATCTCAGGATCGAACCTTAAACTTGAGGTGTCGTCTTGCCCATCCTAAACATGGACCTTTACCTTCGTTTGTGTATAGGCTTCAAAATTTTTGTTTTCAAGATAACAGAAGCTTATCTAGTCAGCAAATCGCAGGGTCTTTCATAAACTCCCCCAAAGCGTCTAACCCATCGTGTACTCAAGTTAGAAGGAGACTGGGGTGCGCTATCGGAAAGCCTTCGAAGCTTTAGCCCTCACCCACCCAACCCGGATCCCCAAACCTACCCTATAAGCCATATCTAAACCCCTAAACCCTAGATAAACCTCAATCCCAAGCCCAAAACCGTTGGCACCTGCTCCGACTCCCAAGCCCCAGAGCCCAAAGCCTGGAATCTTGTCGGCTGACGACCCAAGGAATACTATAGGGGCCTTAATCGTTGGAATAGCGCTCCTTTAAATGGATCCTTAAAGGGTTGCTATAAGGGATCTATAAGGTTACTATTATATAAGGGTCTTAATAGTTAGTGTTGGAGTTTCCAGCATGACCCCTGCGCATGATGACACGCACATGCAGGCCTTTTTTGCTCAGCGTATATAAAGTTGTTGCGTGCTTTCGGGGTGTAAGTTCAGGGTTGAGCCTAGAGTCCAAAGCTTAGGTAGCCAGGTTCTTCTAAAGGCCCTTCCCCGGTAACTCCTCGAAAAGAGGTTAGGAGCCCAAGCTCCCTTAGGGTTCCTATAGCTCTACTTTGTAGGCTTAGGCCCCTAAGTATCGCCCTCCGCTCCCCGAACTTTGTAAGTCTAGGCTCTAGGTCCTAGCTTAGTCGGGTGTATCTTAGTGCTGAGCTTGTGGGTTAGATTGTAGTTTCTTCCCCGCGAAACCATGGATACCTCCCTTCGCCGGCGCAGATCAGAGCGCCAAGAGCCAGACGCTCCAGATGCTGCACAGGCTGAGGCTTTGGCGGCGATTCCGGAGAAAGACTCCGAAGGTCCACCGAGGGCTGAGATTTCGGAGTCTCATCCTTTCTGGAGTGAGAGGGCAAAGGCCGAGGTGGAGTTGCAGAAGGCCCGTCCCAAGAGCCTGAATGAGGCTAAGAAGACTCCTGAGGTGAAGGTCGATGAAGATGTTTTGGAGCCTAGCTATGAGATGGAGTTTGGTGGAAAAGGGAAGGGCGACCCTTCAACTTCAGAGGTTGTTCGGGCAGCTAGTGGGCTGGCAGACAGTCATGGAGCAAGGGGCCGTGGAGGTCTTTTTCAGGAGCCAACGGGTGAAAGCCGAGGGCTTTTATTTGGGAAGCCTGGATCATCGGGACCCCCGGAGCCTACTGACTGGATGTCGATGTCGCCTATGAAGCTAGAGCAAAGCTTGAAGATCATGATGGATGGGAAATCTTTGAAGACCTCGACCAATGAACCCCCTGCCGATCGGCGATCTATGCCGGAGCTGGAGACCGGTTGGAGAACCGTGCCTGAGGAGGTTTCTGAGCTTTCTGGAGGTCAGCAAGTTCGGAACTTTTCGGCTTCTGAGGTACTTGATCCGAGAGTTGTGGGGGCTTCCAGGGGCATTCTTCAGGATTCGGGAGCTGGATCTTCCAACCAAGGGACCCCAGAGGTCTCCACGACTGTTGGGGATGGTGCTTCAGAACGGAGGGTTCCGAACAGGTCTCACCTTGAGGTCGAAACCGGTAGCGCGAGATTAGGGAACGAAAGGGCTGAAAGTGTCAGTGAAGGCACTGCAAGGAGGTCTATCCCTCTTTCTCCGGAAGCCCAGAGATCCCAGAAGAGTTCGGCCTACGAGATCCCGGATCCCTCAGAACAACACTTCGAACTAGTTAGACTACGGTCTTTGGTTGAGCATCTTCATGATAGGCTAGAGAAAGCTGAGGCTGAACGTAGTACGAGAGGATCCAGATCTTTTGGGTCGGCCTCTTCTGGGCGTAGAGTAGAGGAACTAGAGCTCAAGGGCCAAAGGGTAAACTTTCAGTCTGAGGAGGGTTATCCTTTGCCCCCGGTGCCACCTCTGCCTTTCGCCTCTGAGGGGTGGTCTTCCTGGAATGTTTCGGACCCCCTTCATTCCACTCACGACCTGGTTATTTTGGGTCAAGAGCCTCCACGTCAGTCCTCCCTCGATATGGATTTTGGCCCATCTGTTCACTCCCCGATGGCTTTTCCCGGGGACATGGTGCCTTTGACTTCAACTGCGAGTGCTCCTGGGGCCACCCTTTCGCCTTCTGAGGTTCCGTCTATGGACTTTGGACTTCACTCTTTTACAGGGCCCCCAGGAGTCCAATCCTCTTCAGGGATTCCCAATCCCGTTTCTCCTTCCGAGGTTCCTTCGATGGACTTTGGATTTCATTCTGCCGCGGGTGCTGGACCTCAGTACTTCGCTCTGTCTCCCCGTGCCCAGTTGCCGACTTCGTCTGGTGTAATAAGGGTTATGGGAGTTAATCATAGCTGGAAGGTGGTTAATGGTTCGTTGGTTTTAGAGCCTGTGGACTTCGTCCCTCCTCCTCCTCCGCAGTGGACTTCGCCCTTGGTCGCAGCTCCGCCCACTTCTGGGGCGTGGAGCAACAGTCCATCTCCTCCTAAGTATCCTGCGTTTGGAGCACAACTTCCATTGCCATCCTGCCATGCTGTCTCCTCCTGCGCGGGAGCGGCAATGCCTCGATACCAATCGCCTCCTCCGAGGCCTCCTTCTTCCACTCCACCTCCGAGCCCACCGGCCGCTTCGGGTTTAAGTCTTCCCATAGCTGCCCCGCCGGTTGGAAATAGTGGTCGGGTTGATGCTAAGGACCTCAGGCCTGAAGCTGTGGGTAAACACGTAAGTTCCCTCCCGTCCCTAGAGGCCTACAACCCTAGCAACCCCACCGCGCTGGGAGATTGGATCGCAGTGGTCCAGCCGATGATTTCTTCACTGTCAGACACCGGGAGTGTCTGGTGGGGTTATACATACCAGGCGGCCAACCAGGCCTACGTGCGGTGGCTATCCACATCCCCGCTTGAAAGGCTGTCGATCCAGAAGGAGTTTGATCAAGTAAACTTGGTGCAGCCCCAGCATGCCTTGCTGGAACAGCGATGCGTGACCTTGATTCTTCAGGCAATCCCGGATGCTGTGAGGGTTGACATTGTCGCCTCACGCCACCTGAGTGTGGCAGGAATGATCTTTCGTCTGATGACGGTGTTTCAGCCCGGGGGAGCGTCAGAACGATCAACCATGTTGCGTTTTTTGGTGACGCCGAAGGCTGCTTCCACTTTGTCGGAGGCTGCAAAGCTGCTGAGGCAGTGGACCCAATGGCGTATGCGCCTGAAGCAACTGCACGCAGCAGAGCCTGACACCACGCTTCTGGTTAAGGGTTTAGATGTCCTGACAGGAAAGGTGTTGCAGAAGCACTCCGCGAGCCTTTTCCGACTTGCCACTTTCCGTGAGCGGCTTGGGGTTGACTACCAGCCGACCTCCGACGCTGTGTCGGAGTTGTGTCGAATGATGCAGGCGGAGGTGGAGCACCTGATGCACTCCACAGATGACAATCCTGTGAAGGATGAGGTTCCGGGCCGAGGGGATGATGCTAAGAAGCAGCGCTTGCAGCGCTTGCAGACGTCTCCAAGTACCCCGAAGGCCAAGACTTCTCCAGCGGGACCCAAGTCGCCGGGTGCAGGCATGAAACCTTGCAGAAGCTGGCTAACGGCTGGCGGTTGCACGTACGGGTCGTCCTGTCAGTTCTACCACGACCAGGATGAAGAAAAGATGCGGGGCCGATGCTTCTGTTGCAGTGCCGAAGATCACTGGGCGGACTCATGCCCGGTGAAAGCCAGGTTAAAGGCGGAGGCTAAGGCTGCCAATGAGGAGTCCCCTTCCACTAGCCCTAAGACACCAAAGGCCCCTGCCGATTCCTCTCCTAAGGGTAAGGCGAAGGGTAAGGCTAAGGAAGGTAAGGGTAAGGAAGGCAAGCCTGGGGGTAAACCTAAGGTTGCTACCGTAGACCCTCAAACCGCGCCTGCTGGGACCGCGAATGACCAGGCAGAGGCTGCAGCTCCGAGTCAGGGGGATGGCAACGCAGCCATCAATGCAGAAATCTTGAGTGTGCTAAGGTCGATCAAGACCAAGGCCTTGCGGCTTAGTGCTGTAAGCAACCCGACGGGCTACGGCTTGTTGGATAGCGGGGCCTCCGCTTCTCTCCGCCAGGCATCGCCTCAGGAAATCCAGGAGTCCCGCCCGGTGAGCGTGTCTCTCGCGGTCGGCGAGGCTCTGATGCATGTGAACTCCGCCGGGAATTTGTTGGTCAGGGAGTCAGTGCAGCCAATCTTGCCGATGCATGCGTTGCGGCTTTTGGGCTGTGAGATCAACTGGACTGACCGGGGCATTCACGTGCGGCATCCAGGTCTCGGGATTCTCCCGGTGAGACTCAAGGATGGCACTCCTGAGTTGCCAGAGTTTCTGGTGCTTCGCCTGATTGCCGAGTACGAGCGCTTCCTCTTGCGCCGTGAGACCTCAAGGGCCGTGTCGCAACAGCTTTGGCAGCGATCTGTTGGCCAGGAGGAGGTTGGGCTTTCGTCCCTAAGGGAGTGGGTTGCAGCCCATGTGGCGGCAGACTCGTGCAGCGAAAGTGAGCTGCAGCTGATCGTTAAGACCCTCTTTCCCGGGCTCCCAGAACGGTTAGCGTCTCAGGTTGCGGTGAGTCCCACCTTTGATCCCTCCTGCGTTCCTTTCAACCGCCGGACCAGGAGGCAGCTGTTTGACCCTCAGGTCCCGACCTTGGTGCATCTGTTTGCTGGAAAGCAGCGGTGGCGACATTCTGTCGGCCAAGTGCTTGAGGTCGATATTTCCAGGGGATCGGATCTTCTTTCTGATGATGTGTTTGGCATGCTGCTGCGGGCAGCCACCCTGGGTGTCATCGATGGGGTCGTATGTGGCCCACCAAGCAGGACCTTCAATCCTGAAGCCCTGGCGTCCTCCTCGAATGGCTTGAAGTTCCGAGGGGAAGAGGGAGACGATAGGTTTGGGTTTTCAGACCTCAGCCCGTCCGATCGTGCTTTGGTTGATCGGGACACCCTGTTGTTCCTTCGGTCTCTGCTGTTGACCTTTGTGGCCTCGTGTGCCAAAGAGAAGTTCTTCAACTGCTTAGAAATGCCTGAGACTTCCACTGCGTGGGAATGGCCCGAGTATGAGAATGTTTCTGTGTGTCTGGGGGGATGGACCGCCAGCTTCGACCAGGGCACTCTTGGCCATCCCTGCTCTAAGGCCACGGCCGTGTATACCAGCAGCTTTCAGCTGTACGAGTCTCTTCATGAGCTGAAGCTCCCTCCAGAGGTGATTGAAGCCCCGGCCTCTAACTTTTACGGTAAAGAGTGGGCTCCTGGGCTTGTTAGCCGGGTTCTGCGGGCCTGGGATGACTACTGCTGTGTCAGCTTTGAGCGCTTGCAGGCTCACACCCGTGAGCGAGAAGGACTCCTTCTCAACTTGTGCCAGGAAGCCACTGTGGCTAAGATGTCACCCGAGGTTTGGGAAAGACACTGCCAGGCAGATCATTTGCCGTATCGCAATGATTGCCCAATTTGCATTCAAGGAGCTTCCCGTGATCGCTCCCACTTCACGAAGCATCCGCATCTGTTTGAGCTCTCCAGTGATGTTGCTGGTCCGTACCACAAGGGCCGTGACTTTGGAGGAGCATGCAGGTATTTTGTGATTTTCACAATAAGGGTGCCGGTCAAAAGTGATAAGAAGGAGTGGCGGGATAAGTCTTCTGAAATAGCTTTCCAAGAAAAGGTTGATGAGGCTAAGGCCCAGGATAAAGAGGATCCCCATGCAAGCTTGATCTACCAGCCGGTGCATGTTACCGGAGAGCCCTTAATATAAGGGGGGATGCTGAGCAGCCTTCTCGGGTTAAGGTGTACACAAAGCTTGGGGATGACTTCCTTGAAGAGCCAAGCTCGGCCGTTGGGGTTTCTTCCACGCCGGGGGAGGATGATGACTCAGCTCTTCCTGTGAGCTTTGAGGTTAAATCTCCTCACAAGCCTCCGCCGCTTCAGCCTGAGGGCAGTGACTCTGATGATGGTCAAGAGTTTGTGACTTTGGTGTGGGCTGAACCGCTGAAGACCCGCCAGTCCTTCAATGTGCAGCTTGCAATCATGCGTGCTGTTGCCCGCCTCCGAGCGTTTGGCATTCCGTGCTTTCGCTTCCATAGCGACAGGGCTCGGGAATACTTGAGTGATTCGCTCGAAAGGTTTCTAGCCGAGCAGGGCATTCACTCCACAAGGACAGCCCCTGAGGACCATCCCTCAAACGGCGCCGCTGAGGTCGCGATTCGAGAAGTCAAGCGAGCGGCCCGCAGAGCTCTTCTTTCGGCGAATCTGCCTTCGTGCCACTGGCCCACGGCAGTGAGACATGCCGGAGAAGTGATGTGGCGTAAGGGCCTTGTTCGTTTGGGTGGTGCGGCCAGGTCTTTGCTGGCTTACGGCACGCCTGTTGAGGCTCGCAAGCGCCTTCGCCACAGGGATGTTTGGATGTCCCGAACTCGGTCTGGAGTCCTGATTGGCCCGGCTCCGCAGACCTTGTCTTCGTACCTTGTGCTGTTTGAGGATGACACGGTGTGCATTACGTCGGCGGTGTATCCTGTTGATTACCGGCCGCGCCCTCCGTCTGAGCCTGCTGAGCCTCCTCTTAGGCCGAAGCCCTTGTCGGGTTCCAGCACAGGTGCGTTTTTGCCGACGCCCCACTACCGTCACGGCTCCAAGGGCCCTTCTGTTCGGGTCACGTTGCAAGGCCCTTCTCTTCCTGCTGCGGGGGGGATGAGTGCCATAGCAGATTTTTCGGATTTTTACGGTTCGGGCGAATTTTCCCGTCGGAGTTTTTCTGAGTCTGAGGATTCCTTGAAAGCTGGTTCGGATGGGCCGGTTGACTTCTTGTCAGATTCGTCTGACTTTCCACAGACAGCTGGGATGCCGGAAGTTCCCCAGCAGGAGTTCTCGACCTTGCAAGGTGTCTGTGAAGATCCAGCTGCGTCTGATGAGGTTTTTTCTTCTGAGGATAGAAGGGAATCCGGAGAGGACTCATGTTCAGAGAGCCCGGGGGAGATCGCAGAAACCCGTGAAGCGGATGACGCTCCGGGAATGCCGCCTACCAATTTGGGCGAGGGTTCAAGAGGCCCGGGGGAGCCTTGTGGGCATCGGGTTCTAAGGTTTGTGGGTCCGAACCCACAGCGTATGCCTGAGGCCAATCCAGCCCCTGGTGGCAGAAATGTGCAAGGCATCAACCGCCGCGTGCTTCAGATCTCCTTTGCCTACATGTCTCCTGACCAGTGGGCAGCGGTGTGTTATCTTGAAGAGGAGGAATTTGAACGTCAGATGTCGGACTTTACCCGCTTCTTGGATCCTGGTGATCCTGTTGATGGGGATACCGAAATCCCCTTCCTCCTTCTTCGGGGTACCTTGAGAAATCACCGCTGGGATCGTTATCCCACCATGGAATATCAAGATGCCGATGGCCGCCGGGCCCCGTTGTTTGAGGTTCTTCAGCACCATGATGATGATGATGGCTGGTATGCTGATGATAGCGCATTTGGGGATAGGCTAGTTGCCTTCACCATAAGGGACTTTCGGACCTCTGAGATTCGGGTTGTAGTTTTGCGACTCTTTGAACAGGAGCCACCCAGTCCCTTGGCTGTGCCTGGTCCCATTGACCCGCCTCATATTCGGGCACTCCGAGTGAAGGACGAGGCCTCCAGTTCCTCAGGGTCCTACAGCGCTTCATCTAGCCAAGGCTATCCGCCACCAATGCGTGCTGAGGCCTCGTGTACGGCCGACCGTCCCGGCCAAGGCTACTCGTCACCCATGCCTGCTGAAGCTCCTGCGGTCCCAGACCCGTCTGGTTCGGTGTCCAGCTTTTCTTCAGGATCGCTGGATGTGTCAGCAACGGGCCCGGTGTCTTCTAGTTCTGGGAACACCTCCACTGTGGATACTTACTCCACCCTGCAATCTAGCATCGCTGAATGGACCATTGATCCTCCCAGCAATCCTCTATGCCACATGCTCCAGTCAGGTGCACCGCTGAGCCCTTACATCATTCAGATTGGGCTGCAGGGCTGTGTGGAAGTTCTTGAGAATGATGATGATCTTGAAAAAACGTTGCATTATGCAATTCGGGGTTTCCAGTCCGAGCAACGAGGAGGCCGTATGCTTCCCAACGCTCTTGAGCCTAAGGTTGGCTGGATTGTGGTTGGAGCTATGATAGCCCGTTGGTTAGAGGATAATCCTGAAAGTGCGAGTGGCTATGATGTCCCTGAAAGGGTTAAAGCCATCGCCTTAGGAATAGCCACTTCCACGGTGCCTGAAGCCCCCGCCCCGTCGATGTATGACTTTTGGTTGAAAAAACTTGATCATAATGATAGAGCGGATGTGAATGTTCCAACTCCGCGATGGGACAGGCGGTATGCAGTGCTGAGTGATCGGGAAGCAGAACGACTCCAACGTGGTCGTCCAGTCGATGAACCAGCCAGTGGCTGGAATGAGCTCGATCTGCAAAGCTTTGGCTGTTTGGTTCACACCATGCACAACCCCGAGCATGCCTTTATGATCGGACTGTTTGTTCTTCGGGGTCGAAATTGGACCACCATGCCTGAGGTGCGTATGATTTGGGATCACCGGCATACCAATGCTCCTGTGCCCTATGTGTTTGGGTATCAGCCCGGTGGCTTGAATGATCAGAACACTGAGTACGAGCTTGACCTCCTTGGCGTCGTAGAAACCGAAAGGGTCGTCGACTTTGAAGGCGAACCCAATCGTCGCGCCTACCTTTACCGGGCCATCCGATATGGTCAACCTCCTCAGTGGTTTCTGATCGAAAGTAACATGATATGGCAAGATCGGTTCCGCTCTTCTGAAGAGACCGGTCGCAACCCAGTTCCCAATCCCCAAGGGCCTCCGCCCTTTGAGAACAGGAGAGATCGTTCTCCGCGTCGGGACCCTGATGCTGGGCCTGCCTTTCGTGTTGCCCGGCTCTTCTCTAGCTCTGGTGGTTCCCCGTCGGCAACAGAAGCGTTCTCTCCGTGTGAGACCTTCTGCAAGCAGGTGCTTCTTGAAGGACACCCCGTTTCCACGGGTCAGCTTGCAAATGCTATCCGTTTGTACGTTCAAGATAAGAAAGCGGTCAATCGGATCGCGAAGCGCCCTCTTGCCGGGAACCAGAAAGATGAAGCGTCAGGAGCAACGCTCCCTCCTTGGTTCTGGTCTTCCGGGGCTTGGGTTTTCAGTGCTAAGGTTGGAATCACCAATACGGTGCATGAGTGCCCGTGGCTCACTCGCCTTCTTGCTGTGAGCCTCTTCCACCGCACTGGGCATTGCTTTGCCTCTGTTGGCTTTGTTGTCAACATTGAGTCAGAGATTCATCGGGACTCTCACAATTCCCTTGAGTCAATGAATGTGGTTTGGAATGTTGGGCAAGGCTCCGGTTCCCTTGAGGTTCGTGGCCAGGAGATGCCTCTTCCGCCCAATGCCTGGCTTAGCTTCCCCCCGCGTGATCTCCACAAGTCTGGAAGTTGGGAAGGGGACAAAATTCTGGTTTTGGGTTACACCCCTAGATCTCTTGAAAAGTTAACTTCTTCGGATCTTCTAAGCTTGAGATGGGTGAATATGCCAATCCAGGACCTTGAGCCTCTGTCGTCGTCTTCCGTCATCGGAGAACCCTCTCCTGGAGACGGCGTGTCGAAGTTGCTTCCAGATGAGTGTGATTCAGGTGAAGAGGAAGCAGACCTCCCGGCAGAGGAATCTTGGAGTCAGGTGACTCAGGGATATGAGCAAATGCACCAAGCAGTGACGCATTTCTTGAAGTCACTGCAACGATCTGTTGTGGGCGCTTCTTCAGAAGGCCCAGTTGACCCTATCACTCTGCAGGCGATGCGCGAAGCCTCCTCCCTTCGAAATGAGTTGGGCTGGCATCTAGAACTTGCGCGCCTGTATGGCTGCGATGAGCCTGTTAGTTCCTCCTCGTGGAGGGTGTGTGCCGCTGCCCCTGCAGCCGAACATCTTGAGTCTCAGCCCTTGCTGCATACCCGCATCGTCTCGAATGAGGAAGTCCGTGAGAAACTGCATGAATGGCGTGATGCCATGAAAGCAGAGTGCGATTCCTTAATTTCGAAGGGTGCTGTTGAGCTTGTGGCAGACAGTCAAGTTGAAAAATGGATTTTAGATGGTGAAGATGTAGAGATCCTCCCCGGCCGGGGTGTTGCCACTGAAAAGCCCCCTGTAGCTCCCGGATCCACTAAGAGGAATAAGTATAGAGCTGTAATTTGCGGCAATTTTCAAAAGTGGTCCGAGGAAAGGGCGGCAGAGTCCTTCTATGCCGGAGGAGCGGATTCTCTTTCGATCCGCACTGCCTTGAGATGGGCGGGCATGAGGAAGCACGGTGGTTCAGGAACTGATGTCAAGACTGCCTTCCTCAACGCTCCTCTTGATGAGCAGGAGGCAGAGTATCTGATCTGCAATCCACCTAAGGTGCTGTATGCCGCGGGAGTTATCCCGAGGGGCTATAAGTGGAGAGTCCACGGTGCTCTCTACGGACTCCAGACCTCGCCTCGTGCTTGGTCCCGCCTCCGGGACAAAACCTGCAGAGTCCTGACCTGGACCGTTGATGGCGAGAATCGCCATTTGCAACAGTGTGTTGCTGACCCCAACATTTGGCTTGTCAAGTCCCCTTGCGGTGAGACTGTTGCCTTGATGTGTTGGTATGTCGATGATCTCCTAGTGTTGGGACCTTGGTCGGAGCGATCTGCTCTTCTTGAAAAAATCAAGGCCACATGGGAGTGCAGCGCATTTACGCATACTGAAGATGGCCCAGTTGAATATTGCGGTCTTGAGATTTCGGAGTCTGCTGATGGTCTTTTGATTGGGCAGACTAAGTACATCAAGGAACTCTTGAAGAGGCACAACGTGCAGGGGAGTGCAAAGTCTCCGTGTGCCGCGTGGTCAGCCAACTTCGATGATGGCGAAAGCCGTGATGACCCGGTTGATCCGGAAGCGGTTAAGGCCGCTCAAAGCATAACTGGTGAGCTACTGTGGCTCTCAGTTCGAGCGCGCCCAGAGCTGTCTTTTCCAGTCAGCCGCATGGCACAGTTGACCACCAAGAGGCCAAAGGATGCGCTAAGCATTGGGCAGGGAGTGTTGCGTTTCTTGAATTCCTCACCCTCCCAGTGCATTGTGTATGGCCCTCCTCCTGGTGATTGCGGGGCCTCTCAACAGTATCCGAGGCCGGTCGTTGAAACGACGTTGCATGCTTTTGCAGACGCCTCTTTTGGGCCAAGTTCAGGCAGATCCCACCAGGGTCTGCTAGTGTGCTGGGCTGGAGCTCCGCTCCACTGGGAATCTGGCCGCCAGACGCTGACTGCTCTGTCAACCGCTGAGAGCGAGCTGATCAGCTACGTCTGTGTTGTGCAAGCAGCTGAAGCTGTTGAGGCCTTGATTGGGGAGATCTTTCCAGAGCCCCTTACTCGATCCCTCTTCGGAGATAATTCTTCAGCAATAAGCATTGTAAGCGGCCCCCCAACTTCCTGGAGATCCCGCCACTTAAGACTTAGGTCCCATGCCCTACGTGAAAGGATCGAAAATGGTGTTTGGACGGTTTATCACTTAAGCGGCTTACTGATGCCCGCCGATATCCTTACGAAGGCGATGACAGCTTCAAAATTCGGCGACATGTTGCCGTTCTTAGGGGTTAAGAATCCGTCTGAGGATTGTAGGTTGCGGCTGGCCGCAGTGCTGGCATGCTGTGCCCTGCTTCTGAAAGGGCAAGGCTCTCCTGAGCCTGAGGGTTGGGGTTGGGTTATAGTGTACCTTACGGTTGTGATCTTAGCCTACGAGGGTTTTAGGTCCTTCCTTAGGAGGTTCTTAGGCTTAGTTGCGTATGTGTTCCCAGGCCTCGGTGCTCGATTTCCCGGGGTTCTGGATGTACATTCCTCGCCCGGTACCGGGACCACGCAGCCGCCTGCCGCAAGCACCCCACCTTCCTCTTCCACACAGTTGCCAGCCCCTGGTGCTCGACTTCCCAGGGGTTCGTCCTCCTCCATCGGTGCTCGACTTCCCGGTGGAGCCCCTTCATCCTCTAGATCTCTTTCGAATCTCCGATCTATCGGAGTAAATACCAACCCTGAGGACTACGCTCCTCTTCCTCCTGTTCTTCCAGCTGCCCCTGCAGCTGCCTACCGTCATCCAATCGACCTAGTGAGCCATTCCACTTCCAGCGGCTCCCACTGGCATCAAAATCCCGAGTGCTACCATCTCCGAAACCGGGATCATTCATCACTGCTTCCGTGCAGTGACTGTGTGGTTGGCCGTACGGTCTTCCATACCAATCTCCCTACTGGACTTCGACGCCGCAGGGGAGGGTGAGTGATGGACTTCAAGGCAACCAGTGCCTTGCAGGCTACCATAGCCTCCGAGCACCAACTCGTTAAACTGATCCGCTGCCTGCCGGCCTGGACTTTTGCAGCGACCTGTAAGTGCCGCTTTCTTCCTCATGGCTGGACTTAGCCTTCCTTCGGGGCTAGTCAGGCCCTCGACTTCTTTCCTCCCTCCTCGCCGTGCCACCATCCGTCCTCCCCTTGTGGATTTTTGAGGTGACTCCGCGGGGTTAAAGGGGCTTTTAACTATCTAACTTTGAGAACACTGTTTCGTTTGATTCCTTTGAAAGGCCTTGAGCTCAACTAACGATGGCTACGAGATTCCCGAATGGACGGATTCCTCAAAGGGGCAGAAGTTCACGGGATCTCAAAAAGAGCCAAACAACTTTGCGTAACGCAAAGGGGGGGAGTGTTGGAGTTTCCAGCATGACCCCTGCGCATGATGACACGCACATGCAGGCCTTTTTTGCTCAGCGTATATAAAGTTGTTGCGTGCTTTCGGGGTGTAAGTTCAGGGTTGAGCCTAGAGTCCAAAGCTTAGGTAGCCAGGTTCTTCTAAAGGCCCTTCCCCGGTAACTCCTCGAAAAGAGTTAGAATAGGGTATTGTGGCCATTTTACTCTACTTATAATAAGGTCACTATTTGGGCCACTACATTACCCCGGCTCCGGGTTCAAAGCCGAACCGAAACCCACATCCAGGCTGCTCACTAAACCCTAAACTACCTTGAACTACCAAAACCTACTTTTCGTAGGGCCCCTATAAAGTCCATATTATTAGGGTGTATAATAAGAGCCTCCAAAATGCGTTTTGTCCCTCTACAGGTTCCCTGAAAGGCTTTGTTTACGGGGCTCCTTTATGGGGACATGTCACAAAACGACGTCAAGGCCTCAGAAGTCAATACTACAGGGGCCTGAATGGCTAGACTGGGATTCCTTTGCAGGGGTCCATGGGGTTACGCCTAGGGCTGTTCGGGGTTTAGCAGAGGGCCTGAAGTAATTAGAACAGATTCTGATGGTATATTATATGTATGTATGTGTATATATGTATATATATATATATATACTTATTTATTTATACATATGCAGTGATGGAAGCACTATAATACACTATAACGGTAACGTACCGCCCTAGTCATAAATCTTTAGGTACTGCGGCCGAGGCAGCCACCTCACCACTTTGGAGGTTGCAGCTCCGGAGGCTGCGCGGGGATGGCTTGAAGAAATGGTGAAGCTGCGGTCGCGTGTAGGGACCCTAATATAGCACCCTAAGTTGGATCCTTATGATAAGGACCCCAAAATGGTAGTAGGCCCAAACTTCGTGGCCTAAAACCCCTACATCCGAGATACTGACTGCCCCGAGTCCATTCCAACTGTGACGGGCGGCTTCCGGAACCAAGACGGAACCCAGGCTGCTGGCCAAGGGTCGCAAAGACAAGTGCGCTTTCTCGATTGGCTCTCCGGTTTCAAAGTTTCAGCTTCTCCGGTAACAGCTGAAGGCCCACAGACGAATTGCAACGTACAATGCCCTGGCCGTGCTAACCGAAACCCTAAACCTGACTTCAAACCTTAGTACTCTCGAAACCCTCAAATTCTAGAGCTTACACCCAAAACCCTAAACCCCTAAACCCTAAAAGCCATACACTAATCTCTCCATGACCGAAGCGGGCATCCTATGAGCACTGAGCCGCCCCGTTTTGTGCCCGCTCGAACGACCCCGGCGGAGTTCGGCCCGAAACCTCCAAGCATCGGCCTCCCGAACGTTTTGGCTTTTTGGGAGGGCCCCTAAACCCTAAACCCCCAAAAAAAGGGCGGGGGGTGGGTTTGGTTTAGGATTTAGGAGTTTGGGGATTTGGGGGTTTCGGAGTCTAAGGGTTTGGGGGTTCGGGATTACGGGTTGCTCATGTTTGGGGTAAATATAGGTGTAAGGGTTCAGGGACTTGTCGGGTTTTCAATGCGTCAACGTCTTATAGTCTGAACTGCCTGGATGCTGGATTTACATCTGCTTTACCGTCTAGGGTTTAGGGCCCAGGGTCTCTACAATGCTTTTTCTACAGATCTACTGGGTTTTCATAATGGACCATACGTTCCGCAGGATTACGCGAGGCCGGACTCTTTCTAAGTCTTGAAGCTGATTGCAGTACAGTAGGGGCCCCGGCGGCTCCGGACCCTAACCAGGTTAGATCCGCCGCTCAAGACAAAGCAAGCAAGTTAATGTAGGGGCCTTAATAATTGGAATAGGGTTTTGGGGCCCATTATATCACAAGGAACCCCCAAGTTGGGCCCCCAAGATAGTATTGGTAATTATTAAGGACCTTGTGGTAGATGCCACTCCTCGAACCTTGAGAAGTGCCAGCCTCTCCCGTCTCGAGCTCGGGGATACTTTCGGCCGTGCCGGCATTCTCATGTGCTGCCTCTCCAGGCAACGCTGCTGGTGCTTAGTAAAGGGTTTGGCTGGCGTTGAGACACTGCTCGTTTGATGTCCTTTCTAACGCTTCAGCATTGGATCATAAAACTACTGCCGCCACTTCGAGTGGGGCACGGCGTGAAGGCAAGAGCCACCAAGTCCTTCGCATCGCAGTCGCGCGAATGCAAAGTCATCCGGCGCCCAGGGCAAGCAACTGCAGGCTTCGGCAGTTTGGAAAAATCACCCTTGGCCCCGATGGTACATCCTGGGCAACTCAGCTCGCAAGTGACCTGATGCAGTCCAAGACTCAAAGCACGTCTGCGCGAGCTTCATCCAAGGAGCTATCCACGAAGTGTTTGCGGTGCGCGTCAATCTTGCGTTGGAAGATGTCTTGCACCACCTTCCCGATCCATGTCGCCACAGCCTGGATCACATAATTGTTGACTTGCTTGAAGCCCACGGTTTGCTGTATGAGCATCTTTATCTTGATCTCGTCGTCCTCTTTCCATGCTCTCGCATTCGCTGCGTCGACGCGGCTTACCGACTGCGTCACTCGGCCGATGCCGTCGCTCCCGCGACTTACCTCCAGCTCTAGCGTCTCGGAAGCTTGCTGGGGCATTGCAAAGCTTACCTCAATCCCCAGTTGCGACGCCACGAACTGTTCGTGCACGGTCCAAATGCGGGTTAAGTACACCGGTTCCTCCCAAGTGTCAAGGATGGCAACCATGCGGCCGATCCGTCGCAAGTTGCTCTCGAAGACTTCCTCGAGATTGTCACTTCCTGAGCCAGTGGCTTCCACGATAATCCGGAATTGATTGTTGACGAAGAAGCACATGTAGAAAAAAATGTGCTCCGACACGAGCTCGGACATGCTCCTTCTGTGCATGTCTAGAGCGCTTGTGATTTGCGACAGGTGGTAGCGCCACGTCCAAGACATGAAGTGAGTTTGCCGTCGCCGATGCTGGCGTGGGATCCAGTCGACGAGCGCACAGCCCTCTCGGCCATCGCGGGGACAGATCACTTTCTGCCCTATTGGGTCATCTGACAGCCAGAAGGCATCTTTCATGTCATTGAAGGTGGGGTCGCTTTGATCCGTGCGCTTTTGTGCTAAGTCACTGAAGTCGGATGAGAGGAGGTAGCTCATGCTCACTCCGCTTGTCTGGCTCTGCAGCTTGCGGAACTCCTGGATGCGCCAAGCTATTGTGGCATCGTCAAGCCCAAGCCTACGTAGCAACCTCTGGTAGTGTGTGGCTGTATCTGGGCCTTCATCCCACATGTCCTCAAACAACTGTGCCATTACCTTCTCGGCTTTCGCAGCTCTCCTCCTTCGACGGTATGAGACCATGCAGCCCAAGATCGTAAGGATCATAAGAAGGCACCCTGCTGCTGCGAGCAGGTGCCACCATGCACAGCCTTCTTCCACAACCAAGAAAGGCCACTGACAGGGCAAACATGCGTCCGAACCCCGCGGTGCATACTGGGAAGCGGAACAAGCCATGCACATGCTTTGGTCCAGAAGCGGCACCATGTTCGGGCCGCACTGTTCGCAAAAGTCAGAGTCTGCCAAGGAGAAGCGCCCTGCGGGGCAGGCTTTGCAGCCAAGTCCGTTCTCTGCGCCTGTTCTGCCAGCCTTGCACGGTGATACGTCAAAAGACGCCGCACCATCGAACATGCCGACGGTACTGGCACCCGAGACATTCCACTGCTGTAGGTCCTGGTTGAAGACGCTGGCAGAGTGGAACATGAAGCTCATGGTTTCGACATGTGAGGTGTCCCATCCTCCGATATCCTGGTCGAACTGGCTGGCGTTGTTGAACATGGCAGACATGTGCCTGACTCTTGAGGTGTCCCAGCTGCCAATGTCCTGGTTGAAGGCACTTGCAGAGCTAAACATTAGATTCATGTATGTGACGCTTGAGGTGTCCCAACTGCCAATGTCCTGGTTGAAGGCTGTTGCAGACTCAAACATGCTATCCATGCTTGTCACTCTCGAGGTGTCCCAACTGCCAATGTCCTGGTTGAAGGCAGTTGCAGAGTGAAACATGCTCTCCATGCTGGTGACACTTGAGGTGTCCCAACTGCCAATGTCCTGGTTGAAGGCACGTGCAGAGCGAAACAGTTCTTCCATGCTCGTGACGCTTGAGGTGTCCCAACTGCCAATGTCCTGGTTGAAGGCACTGGCGTCCCAGAATATCCGTTCCATGCTTGTGACGCTTGAAGTGTCCCAACTGCCAATGTCCTGGTTGAAAGAGCTTGCTCCGGAGAACATCCGCTCCATGCTTGTGACGCTTGAAGTGTCCCAACTGCCAATGTCCTGGTTAAAGGCAGTTGCACTGGAAAACATCTCGGCCATGCTGCTGACGCTGGAAGTGTCCCAACTGCCAATATCCTGGTTGAAGGCTCTCGCTCCCTTAAACATGCCATACATGCTCGTGACGTTTGCGGTGTCCCATCTGCCAATGTCCTGGTTGAAGGCATTGGCCCCGAAGAACATGCCAGCCATGCTTGTCACTCTTGAGGTGTCCCACCTGCCAATGTCCTGGTTGAAGGCATATGGCTCTCGCCACCTGCCCCAGAACATCCATCTCATGCTTGTGACGCTTGAGGTGTCCCAACTGCCAATGTCCTGGTTGAAAGCACTTGCAGAGTCAAACATGCTATCCATGCTTGTCACTCTCGAGGTGTCCCAACTGCCAATGTCCTGGTTGAAGGCACTGGCCCCTCTGAACATCCTGTCCATGCGTGTTACTCTTGAGGTGTCCCAACTGCCAATGTCCTGGTTGAAGGCCCTGGCCCCTCTGAACATCCTGGCCATGCTTGTCACTCTTGAGGTGTCCCACCTGCCAATGTCCTGGTTGAAAGCAGCTGCGCGCCTAAACATGTCAGTCATGTCGGTGACGGCTGAGGTATCCCACATGCTAATATCTTCATTGAAGGCAGAAACCATGAAAAGCCCGCTCATGTTCGTCACCAGAGACACGTTCCAGTCTGTCGCCTCACCGTACTTTAGGATTATCTCTGACCTTTCTGTTGCATTCACATGGCTTGCTTGCCATCTTGCTACCATATCACGCAGCTCGTGGGAGCTGTGGAATCCAGCTTTAGATGAGCTGTTGTCGCTAGAGTCGCTGTAGCTGTCGCCGTAGGAGGTGCCTAAGGCAGCATCGGCTGAGATCACGACCAGCAGAAGTTGTTGCAGCATTCCCACAGGCTGTTCACTTGGCCAGTATGGCACGGCGGAGCCCATCTCGCTTGAGCCGTGGGCGTTCCGCAAGAGGGCCGGGGGCCAATGTCTCAGCAAGGCCGTGCCACAGTCTCACCCCGCCAACCCCAAAGCACACACCTCCTAAGCCCTTTTCAGGCATTTCTGCAAGCAGGGTTGCCTTTCTTGCAAGCTGTCGTGGTCTTGCACAAACGATTTCCTGCAGCTTGTTGCGGTGCAGATCACCCAGCAAAGATCGCATCGGTTCAAAATCACTGTTGCTTGCTTTCGCTATAAGTCTTATGTGTCAGACGTAGGCCAGCCGTCAAGTAAAGCCATGCACGTGACAACGGAACGACACGCGGCCATATGTGTCATCGTCTTCGTCATCATCCACGTCCTCATGCTCGTGTTCATGAGTGGCTCATCAGCATCACCATCATTACAATTGACATGAATTGTCATCTCCATCTCAAAGCTCGAAAAACCTAGGCTCTGCCCCCACCTGGAAGTGCTGGCGATTAGCGAAGGTTGCAGGTCGCGTGGAGTCGGAGCCTCGAACCAGGTTCACCAACCTTCACCCTCGTCATGGATTGATTTAAAAACTGCACAATTGGCACACACACTTCTCATATCTTAAGGGCAACAGTCTGATTGGGAATGTCGAACCTGACGGCCAGAGATCCCACACAAGACTCACAGAAGAAGATTCAGTTCAGCTCGGAAGTGAAGTGACGGTATATCGACGCAGATGTGTATGATAAACTGATGATGGGTGCCAGATGTTGTCCTGTTGAGTTGTTCATGGCCTACACACAGCCGATGCTGATTCAAATGTAGCCATGCCTGGGCGTAGGGCTTGCAGAGCAGCACCCTGAAAACATCACACTGCACGGGTACCGACACTGAAAGTCTTTGCAGCCGTTGAGTTAGGACTCAAGGCTACAAGACAAGGCATGCCAAGAGCTGTGTCTTCCATCCCGTTTGCCAGTAGTGGAGCGAGCCGCGAAACTGGAGAAGAGGGATTGTCATCGCATCAGACCAGCCTACAGAAAGATGCAGCTGCAGAGACACTGGACCGGTGGCCACGAGGGAAGCGGGTCGACGTCACATGGTGTTCGCAAATCTTGACCGTAATGAAAGGATTGCAACAGTGCTTGGTGCAAACCACTTCTAGCCACACATTGCGCTGAGAACGGCTTGAGCAGGTGTCGAGCGGAAATTCAATAGTAAAGGAAAAGGTCAGCCGGGGTGGTTTCTTCTAAGCCTGCCATTCCTGGAAGCCGATTGCTAGATTCGGTGGCACGTTCCGTCGGTCCTGCACATGCGTGCGAGCTAGCCTCAGAGAGATGGTTTTTTTTCCAGAGCAGCAGCAACAAACCTTCTAGGAGAATGGGATAGAATGGGGATGCGTCTGGTCAACTTGGGGGGGCACCACGAGGTGGAGACAAGTCGCCAGGTCGCAGGCTGGGCGGCTGGGAAGGAACAGTGAAGGAGAGGCAATCTAGGCATGACGCATAGCGAATTTGCAAGGCAGCAGGGAACATTAGGGGCAAATCAACCAAGGATAATGCAGCATGCTGAGCAACCCCTGAAACTCCGGTAGACGGTAGATGTGAAGTCGTTGTTGTGCTGTCACGTCAAACGGAAGTTCACAGTCCCTATCCCAATTTGGGCCATGAATTGTTCATCTCCTCACCCTCACCTCTACGAGGGGCAGCTAGCCGACGGTTGCTCACCTGCGCGTTCTGCTAGGCTAGGTATACCAGGAATGCGACGCGGTTGTCTCTCCTATCCTTCTCTGGCCGTTGACACAACTAGCGGCTAGCGGCAACCAGCGGAAAAAGCTTCGGTCGAATTGCATGAGCGCTCAGATGAAGATCTTCACACTCAAGCATATGAAGAAAAATACCGGAATGCGGGTGCGGCACAGGCTTGCGATGCAAAAGTGATGTCGTGTGTGTATATATATATACACACACACACACAAAATGTATACACACATACACATCCCCAGAGTTGCTTCAAGGGATCGTGCAGCTCTACATACTGATATATAACAAGTATTTCTACACTATCTATCTATCAAAAGTATCTAAAGCTCTACATATACGTATATATACTCACATGTTTAACTTCGTTGCACAACGTATTTTACTTAAACTTCAACCGGTATGTATAGAGCAGGACTCTTACGTACTCGAAAGTGGGGGCTGCCAAGTAGGGGCTACAAACCCTAACTTTATTTAAATCCGCCTCTCAATGTAAGCTGGTTAGATGCCACTCCTCAAACATTAAGAAGCCTGTAGCAGCCTCTCTCTTCTCGGGCTCTGGGAACTTGTAGGCCGTGCCGACAGTCTCGTGAGTTGCCTCGCCGGGCAATTGGTGCAAACTCGGGCTTTGCAGGCTTCTAGCTTCTAGTAAAGACTGAAGCAGGCATTGAGACAGTGCTCGTTTCGCTGCAATGCTTTGCATTGGATCATGGACATACATTGCCGCCACTTTGTGGGGCACGGCGTGAACGCAAGAGCCAAGAGCCACCGAGTCCTTCGCATCGCAGTCACGCGAATGCAAAGTCACCCGGCGCCCAGGGTGGGCAACTGCAGGCTTCGGCAGTTTGGAAAAATCACGCTTGGCCCCGATGGTAAATCCCTCGGCAAGTCGCTAATCAAAGGCAAACTCTGCTCCCTGGAGTCTCTGCATAAGTTTCCTCTGCAAGGTGCATCTCTGTCAAGTTTCTGCGGTGCGAGTCAATGTCGCGCTGAACTTTGTCTCGCACCACCTTCCCGAACCATCTCACCATAACTTCAGTCACGTGTGTGTTGACTTGCTTGAAGCCTACGGTCTGTTGTATAAGCATCTTCACCTTGATCTCGTCATCCTCTTTCCATGCTCTCGCATTCGCTGCGTCAACACGGATCACCGACTGCGTCACTCGGTCGATGCCGTCGCTTCCGCGACTTACCTCCAGCTCTAGCGTCTCGGAAGCTTGCTGGGGCATTGCAAAGCTCACCTCAATCCCTGTTTTCGATGCAACGTACTGTTCGTACACGGTCCAGATACGGGTCAAGTACACCGGTTCATCCCAAGTGTCCAGGATCGCGATCATGCGGCCGATCCGTCGCAAGTTGCTCTCGAAAACTTCCTCGAGATTGTCGCTTCCTGAGCCAGTGGCTTCCACGATAATCCGGAATTGATTGTTGACGAAGAAGCACATATAGAAAAAAATGTGCTCCGACACGAGCTCGGACATGCTCCTTCTGTGCATGTCTAGAGCGCTTGTGATTTGCGACAGGTGGTAGCGCCACGTCCATGACATGAAGTGAGTTTGCTGTCGCCGATGCTGGCGCGGAATCCAGTCGACAAGTGCGCAGCCCTCTCGACCATCGCGGGGACAGATCACTTTCTGCCCTATTGGGTCATCTGACAGCCAGAAGGCATCTTTCATGTCATTGAAGGTGGGGTCGCTTTGATCCGTGCGCTTTTGTGCTAAGTCACTGAAGTCGGATGAGAGGAGGTAGCTCATGCTCACTCCGCTTGTCTGGCTCTGCAGCTTGCGGAACTCCTGGATGCGCCAAGCTATTGTGGCATCGTCAAGCCCAAGCCTACGTAGCAACCTCTGGTAGTGTGTGGCTGTATCTGGGCCTTCATCCCACATGTCCTCAAACAACTGTGCCATTACCTTCTCGGCTTTCGCAGCTCTCCTCCTTCGACGGTATGAGACCATGCAGCCCAAGATCGTAAGGATCATAAGAAGGCACCCTGCTGCTGCGAGCAGGTGCCACCATGCACAGCCTTCCTCCACAACCAAGAAAGGCCACTGACAGGGCAAACATGCGTCCGAACCCCGCGGTGCATACTGGGAAGCGGAACAAGCCATGCACATGCTTTGGTCCAGAAGCGGCACCATGTTCGCGCCACACTCTTCACAGCTATCAGAATCTGCCACAGAGAAGCGCCCCGCGGGGCAGGCGCTGCAGCCAAGTCCGTTCTCTGCCCTTGTTCTGCCAGGGCTGCACGGTGACACGTCAAAAAGTAGTGCGCCATCGAACATGCCAGTTGTGTCTGTGACATTTGAGATATCCCATGCTGCGATATCCTGGTCGAAGTGTCTGGCATCAGAAAACATTCCATACATGTCTGTGACGCTTGAGGTGTTCCACCTGCCAATGTCCTGGTTGAAGGCTGTTGCAGACTCAAACATGCTATCCATGCTTGTCACTCTCGAGGTGTCCCAACTGCCAATGTCCTGGTTGAAGGCACTGGCGTACCTGAACATCGTGTCCATGCTTGTTACTCTTGAGGTGTCCCAACTGCCAATGTCCTGGTTGAAGGCACTTGACCAGCGAAACATGCTCTCCATGCTGGTGACACTTGAGGTGTCCCAACTGCCAATGTTCTGGTTGAAGGCACTTGCATCGTCAAACATGTTATCCATGGTTGTCACACTCGAGGTGTCCCAACTGCCAATGTCCTTGTTGAAGGCAGTTGCAGAGTCAAACATGCTCTCCATGCTGGTGACACTTGAGGTGTCCCAACTGCCAATGTCCTGGTTGAAGGCACCTGCAAAGCGAAACAGTTCTTCCATGCTCGTGACGCTTGAGGTGTCCCAACTGCCAATGTCCTGGTTGAAAGAGCTTGCTCCGGAGAACATCCCGGCCATGCTGGTGACGCTTGAAGTGTCCCAACTGCCAATATCCTGGTTGAAGGCACTTGCAAAGTACCATTCTGAGTAAAACATGCTATCCATGGTTGTCACTCTCGAGGTGTCCCAACTGCCAATGTCCTGGTTGAAGGCACTGGCGCCCTTGAACATCCTGGCCATGCTTGTTACTCTTGAGGTGTTCCACCTGCCAATGTCTCGGTTGAACACAATTGCACCACTGAACATGTCGGTCATGTCGGTGACGGCTGATGTATCCCATCTGGTAATATCGTCGTTGAATTCCGCAAGCCCAAAAAGTGCACGCATGTTCGTCACCAGAGACACATTCCAGTCCGCGATCTCCCCGTACTTCAGGACTATCTTTGACCGTTCCTCTGCGTTCACTGCGCTTGCTTGCCATCTTGCCACCATATCACGCAGCTCATGGAGGCTTCGGAATGCAGCCCTAGATGAGCTATTGTCACTGAAGCATCCGAGGCTTGCCCTCTCACAGTACTTCAACCCGGCATCGACGCATTGGATCTCCCACTGCTCGTTGCAAGGGCAACCGTCCTCTGCCTTGGCACACGTCACCGACGTCAAGCTCTCACCCCAGTCGACCTCCCCTGCTGCATCGTAGGTGTAAGTCAAGCAGGCCAGCTCACCGATGGAGCAGTAGCCATAGGAGTAGCCATAGGAGTAGTCGCCTAAGGCGACATCCGGAGAGATCACGACCAGCAGAAGTTTCTGCAGCATGACCGGGGAGATCACTCGGCTAACATTGCACGGCCGAGCCTTGCCTCGAGCCGTGGCACAAACACTAGCTCCCGAAGCCTTTATCATGCATCTCTGTCGGTCGGGCTGCACCGCCTGCGGCTGACATGGTTTTTCGCACAAAAATCCCCGACTACCTACCCTAAGGCTCCAAAGTAGTTCCTTTTTGGGGTTCATATATAGAACCCTATAAGGTAATCCCAAAAAGGAACTACTATGGAGCCTTAGGGTACTGCGGACATATTGAGCTTCGGTCCGAGAGCCAGGCTTCAGCCATTGCAAGCGCCAGCCACTGCATTTGGGGGACCTGCCAGGATTCCAAAAACTGTTATGGATTTAAGTTAAGTTATTATCACAATAGGGATCGATAGTAGATAATATGATTCCACAACTGTTGAGCCTGCTAAGCTCTCCCACCTCGATTCGACATCACATCCGCTTGCACTTGCATGAAACATGATCACATTCTTCGACCAGTCTTGTCCGAAATCTTGATGCATCAGACCTGGGAAGACGATGTATTGCAGCCATATGTACATGACCTCAAAAGGGATGCGGCCATCTGCGTCAATGACATCTCACCATCCTCCTCCTCCTCCTCCTCATCATCATCATCATCATCATCATCACCGCCATCGACATCGCTCGTCACCTCCAATTTCCGAAGAGCTAACGCTCCTCCCGAAGGCGGAAGTGCGGGCGAGGTGCCGGAAGCTTAGAGAGGCTGTGAGAGACGTCGGCACCTTCAGAGAGGACACACCCACGTATGGGTTTACGGTTTAGGGTTAGGATTTGATTGAAGTTGCCACAATAGGGATCTATATATAAGGGCTTTTTAACCGGGATCTATAAGGGTTCCTTTTGAGGGTAATGGACTTAACTTAAGTTACCATAGTAACAGTAGGGATCTATAGAAGATAACACATATGGCTTCCTAAACATGGTAGCTTATACTTAAAACCAATTAACAAGAGCCCAGGCATTCACCGTCGCGAAGGGATTTAAGGTGCATACTTGGCAGACACTCTCCGAAGGAGAAGATTGCGGAGATGTCGAGCCGAAAGGGGGAACGGGGTTGAAATCGTTGGTGATGTTGATGAAAGGAGCTGGAAGAGTCGTCATAGTCATAGCTGAGTCAAACGTACCGCTCTCACAGCCAGGCCTGGGTGTAGGGCTTGCAATGCAAGGCCCTTAAGATGAACATTCCGAAACGAGAGTAACGACACTAAAACAGTCTTGGGTCGATAAGTTCCGGCGCCAGGCTGCAGGACAAAAGCATTCGGCTGTCAGTCGGAGGACTTAGCAGGAGTAGCCATTTGTACTGCGATGCCGAGAACAAAGACGTAACGGTGTCAACAGTATGAATGCATATAAACATGGTATAACGCATGGTGAGAGGAAGAACCCTAAACGCTGCGTGTCGTGACCTGGAGCCTATCGCGGATAGGTTCGAGGAAATGTTCAGCACTTCGAATCTCGATTGGTGCGCCCTCAGATGTACGTCCGGACCCGCAGTCCTCATCATCTAGCCTAACCGAAGCTAACCCTCGGCCAAAACCTCAATGCAACGAAGATTGTAGTGATACCAGGCTTTGGATCTTTAAGACTCGCTCGCATGGTGGGGATTCAGGAATTCAAGGGCTGCATACAGTTCGAAACCTCATGCTTGCCAATTGTCGGGACCCTGCCAGGACCCTGCTTGTACCCTTCAATCAAGGTGTATGGCCCCTAGCGGCAGGTATTTGGGCTCGCATAGAATGTCGATGGAGGGACTATAAGTAGCCAACCATCCCTTAAGCTCCAAACCTCCTCGACGTGCAGCCGCAGATCTGGAAGAGCTTGCCTCTGCAGGTAGTCCTCCGCACTTTGGCAGCCAAGTTTTGACCCTTTGACTTCAATGCTGCCAGGGTTTAGGGTCTCCATTTTCGGAGCTCCCGAAGTGATTGGGCTGTTAGGCTGAAACCTCCGAAAGTTAAGTGCACCCAGCAAGTAGCTATGAAGGAGGAGGCCGCGCGTTTGTACAACAGGCAGACGGAACGGGCATCAGCTCCTGACAAGAAGACATCTGAAGCTTCAGAAAAGGACATGCCCGCCTCGGAGGACCGACCGCACTTTCATCTCGCGCCAGAAACTTTGGGTTCATCCTTCGAGATCAGTCGATGGATTACAATATTGCCGTCCGTCCGTCGTGGGAAACGGAACTGCGTTTGCCCCCATGCACACATTGACACAGCACTTACATCTGCATGAACACTGAACAATGCATCTGTAAACCTGTAAGCTTCGTGATGGGCGCAGAGGGATAGTCGGAGTATCCTGAAACATGGGTTCGAAGCACTCCACCCGAAACTGCTTGCAGGAACGATGGATGCCGCCAGACCCCCAACGAACAAACCTCGCGATGGCCTGCAGGAGGAGGCACCAGCCAGCCGACAGTGGCTGCAGGGATAACGACCTGCTCCTGTTCCGCTCATGCTGCATCAAAAGGACAGATACAACTCAACTGAACGTTTAGGCTTCTTGAAGAGTTCCTATTTACTTAGCCCAAAGACAGCCTTCAAGGGGTGTAAGAGCTCGTAAACTGTAAACTCCCCCCCCCTCCCCCCCGCCCGCGCATTGGATGCTAGAGTGATGTCTTATCCTGAATTTAGAGTCTTGCTTCAAGGATCTTGGAAACTTTGGGATGAATATCGACCAGAGCCGAGGAGGGAAACCTTAAGCCCAAACCGCTAAACCCTAAACCCGAATCCTTACAACCCCAAAACCCTAGCTAACCCCCAATCCCTAAACGCCTCAAGCCGTAATGCCCGAAACCTAAAGTGCCTCAAACCCCCAAGCCGTAAAACCTAGCCATCAACCCGAAAGCTCTAAAACCCTACACCCTACACCATGCACACCCTAAACTCTTTAAAGCCCAAAACTCCGAAAGCCCTGGAGCCCGAAAGCCCTACTATAGGGGCCTTCACAATTAGAATATGGTTTTGGGGCCCATTATACTACAACTATAATAAGGAACCCTGGGAATAATATGGGTAACTATTTAGGCGCCTATACCACTCCCCAAGCCCGAAACCCCTTATAAGCCCTGATCCCCATCCTCGTCGTCCGAGGCATCCTTCCATTTTCCGGTGTGGGCGATCTCGGAACAAGCAGGGTTCGGGGTTTAAGGATCAATGTTTAGGGTCGAGGGTTTGAATGTGTAGGGTTTAAGGGTTTAAGGTTTAGCGTTGAGGGTTTAGTGAGCAGGGTTCAAGGTCCAGGGTGGCCTGGTTTGTGTGAGCTTTTACATGGTAGCAGAGAGATTTTACAGGCTGGGGTTGTGAAGTAATGAAGGTTTAGGATTTTAGGATGTATGTAAACCGTTTGAACCCTAGACCCTAAGCCCCTGAAGTATGTTGGCTTAAAGTGGTGTTTAGGGCTCGGAAAAAGGGTGCTTGCCTTGGGCCTAGGGGGCTCCAAGGGTCTTGCCATGTCTTTTGGTAATCCTTGCGTAAAGGATTTAGGGTTAGGGTTTAGAGTTTAGGGTTTAGGGTTTAGGGTTTAGGGTTTAGGGTTGAATTTAGGGCTGGGGTGTTTAAACAGAGAGCTTGATTGTCAGGGCGCAAACCCCCTAAACCCCAAACCCTCCTTCTATGGAGTATTCTACAGCGTCGGTGTCTGCTTTTAAGGTTTCAGGGGTCTACGAAGATCCAGGAACCAAGATGGAGGGTTCATGCATGATGGGAGGGCCTAGAGTGCAGGGCTGTGTGAACAAGCTCGGACCCCATAACCCTCAGCCTTAAATCCCAAACCTAAGAACCCTAGCGCCCCTGCACCCTAGGGGTTCTAAAGTCTCGGGCTTTCTGTTCAGGGTTGATTCTCCTGAATCACTAAGTCGCGAGCTGGCGTCTTCTTGATCTCGTCGATCTTGCATTAATCTTCTGCTGGCGTTCCAGCTCCTTTTCCTTGCGCTGAGGCTCTTAACTTGAAACCCCCAATCCCTCAGCACTGAGGGACACCTTAATGCCAACTTGAACCCCTAAATGCTGGTGTTCTATTTTCTGTAGCACCGTGCGATGAAGTAGATAGTGAGTACATGTGCGACCTCGATACGTTCATATTTTCAGCGCGCAGTTTTCGAGAAATCTCCCCCCTCCGACTATCCCAGAGCTTTTAGGGCGTACTTGGAGGATCAGGGGACTTAGTGAGTAAGGACATAATTAGCCTAATTGGGGTTATAAGTAATTGTAATTGTAGTTACCTTATTTATAACCCTATATATAGTTACTAAGTCCCACTATCCTTTAAGTAAACCAGGAGCGTGATGCTGTGCTTCAGATTGAAGAATCTCTCTAATTGCTGAACAGCTACACTCGGAACTCCTAAACCCTGTGTTTGAACCCGAAAACCTAAAGCCTACGCCCTAATCCCTAAACCGGACTAGTCCTAAACCGTAAGCTATACCTTTCTTCGTGAGGCTTAGGCGTTAGAGGAGTTCATTGAGTCCCAGCAGGTGAGCAGAAACCGAGCACAACAAATCCTTGGCAACATGTGCTGCACGCTATAGGAAGAGCATCAGCTCCTGACAAGGGTTCACGAAAGGACAGCCATAATGGATCCGGCAAGAAAAGGGGAGTTTCAACTGTACAGTCATTCCGGGCCAACAGTGCCAGAGTTCAAGGCCTAGAGACCATCGGTGTCATGCGTCTTGCCTGTGGAATGCAACTGTTCCGATGATGCACGCCGAAGATACACATCCCGAAATGTAGATCCAAAGCACTACACCCGAAACTGTTTGCCGGAACAACGGATGTTTCCAGAGGCTCAACGACTAAAACTCCAGATCCACAACCCTAATGAGTGTTGGGACCATCAGATGTCCCCACCCTCGCCTGGAGGAGGATGCAGCAGCTGGCGGATGGTTGAAGGGGATAAGGACCTGCGCTTGTCTTGTTCTGCCCGGTATTGACTAGGGCTGCCACAATCATAATCAGGTGGGCTTGGGGTTCAGGGTATAGGATGGGTATAGGGACCTCACAAAAAGTAGGGTTTGGTAGGTTAATGTACATACCAACTCCTTGCTGGAGCCGAGGCAGCCGCAAAGCTAGCGCACTGAGACAACTGCGGCGACTACAATTGCCACAAGGAAGCCTGAGCCACATTGCATGCTAGCACCGCTGCACCGCAGCCTCCAAGTTACTAGCCCCAGTCATGCAACGGTTGCCAACTAATACTGACGCAACCTTGCAGTTTCTTCATGCGACTATACGACTATACGCAGACGAGAGCGGCGATGAACGAAGCTTGGGGCCTCGATGCCTACAAACAGCATTTTTTCTATGCGAATATGATCCGCAGCAAGTGCATTCAATCCACATGACACATCCACATTAGCCTCGAGCAACTAGTCTTGTCCAGAGCGCATCTTCAGGCGGTTGGGATGCGGCTGTGTAGAACGAGCAACCAACCATCGCAGCATCTAGTCTACATTGCAAGATCTGCACTGGGATGACGTGTCGAAATCGAGGATTTCTTGCGCAGTTTCATGTAGAAGCCCTGAACCCTGAAACCATTATAGACCCTAAACCCTGAACCCGAAACCGTAGGATCGGCGTACCGCCAAACCCCACACCCCTAGCTCAACTCCCAGGGAACAACAGAAGCCGCAACTTGCAACGCCAAGTCGATGTCGGTATTCGGTATCCAGACGCTAAGCGTGAAATGATCGCTAAAAGGCTTGAAGGAGCTTGGCCGCATGTGCTAATTGTGCTCTATACAGGAAGAGCATCAGCCCCTACAAAGATTCACCGACAAGAGAAAGGGAGCGCCAACTGTAGTCATTCTGGGCCAGAAGCGCTAGAGTGCCAGAGTTCAAAAGTCCTAGAGACCATCCGTTTCGTTTTCGATGTTGCTGCACCTGTCTGTGGCGGTAAGTACATCTTGCCTGTGCATTGCAAGTGCTCTGACCACCGAACACAAGCAGACATATGCCCTGCAAGAAAGCAGAAGGAGATCCGCAGCAGCAGCATCCCGAAACGTAGATCCAAAGCACGCCACCTGAAAGGTACGGCCGGAACGACGGATGTTGCCCGAAGCTCACTGAATCAAACTCCAGATCCACAATTCTAAACCGAATTGGGACCATCAAACATCCCCACTCTTGCCTGCAGGAGGATGCGGCAGCTAGCCGATGGTTGCTGAAGGGGATAGGGACCTGCGCATAATCCGCCCGAAGGACGCTCAATGCACACATCTCAGCATCGAGCGTTAAACTTTAAGTGTCGACTTGCCTATCCTAAACATGGACCTTTACCGTTGCTTGCGTATAGACTTCAAAACTTACGTATAAGGTTATAAGGTAACAGAAGCCAGCAAAGAACGAGGGTAGATGACATCCCCAAAGCGTCTAACCCATCGCGAACACTCAAGTTGTAGGAGGCTGGGGCGCGCTATCGGAAAGCCTTCCGAGCTTTAGCCCCACCCACCTCAACCCTAAACACTAAATTCTGAACCCTATGAACCGATAAACCTCAACTCCAAACCCAGTACCTTTGGCACGCGCCGATTCCCAAGTCCAAGAGCCCAAAGCCTGGAATCCTCTCGCTGCCAACCCAAGGAATGCCCCGGCTCCGGGTTCAAAGCCGAACCGAAACCCACATCCAGGCTGCTAACTACACCGTACACTGCCTTGAACTACCAAAGCCTACCTTTTGCAGGGCCGCTACAAATTCCATATTATTCGGGTGTATAATTGGAGCCTCCAAAAATTTGCGTTATGTTCATTGAAAGGTTTTTGAGGGGCTTTGTGTACGGGCTCCTTTATGGTGACATGCCACAAAACGACGTCAAGGCCTCAGAAGTCAATACTATAGGAGCCTGAATAGTTAGACTGAGCTGTTTTTGAAGGGTTCTATGAGGGATGTGCTTAGGGCTATTCTAGGGGTTTAGCAGAGGGCCCCAAGTAATTGGAATAGATTTTGAGGTTACTGTGTATACTGCTAGAACTACTGTAAGGGTAACCACCACCACACCTGTAGTCCTAAATCTTCAGCCGTCCGCCAAGGCAGCCACCTCCCACTTTGGAGGTTGCAGCTCCGGAGGCTGCACGGGGATGGCTTGAAGAAATGGAGAAGCTGCGGCCGCGTGCAGGGACCCTATCATAGCACCCTAAGTTGGATCCTTATGATAAGGACCCCAAAATATTATTGTAGTCGGCCCAAACTTCGTGGGCTAAAACCCCTACATCCGGAATAACCGTGACGGGCGGCTTCAGGAACCAGGACGGAAACCCGAGCTCCTAGCCGAGCATCAGAAAGACAAGCTAGCACAGTGCGCTTTCTCGAGTGGCTTTCGGGTTTCCAAGTTTCCAATTCTCCGGTAACAGCTGAAGGCCCACGCGCAAAATGCAACGTACAATGCCCGAACAGTGCAAACCCGAAACCCAAAACTTACTTCAAACCTCATTATTCCCTCAACCCCCAAATCCCAAACCTCACACCCAAAACCCTAAACCCCTACATGCCCTGCACTTCTCTCTCCATGATGACCGAAGCGGGGGATCCTATGAGCACTGAGCCGCCCCGTTTTTTGCCCGCTCGAACGACCCCGGCGGGATTTCGACCCGGAACCTCCAAGCATCGGGCCTCCCGCCGCAGGCTTTTTTGGGAGGTGTGCTTGGTTTGGGGTTTAGGGCTTTGGGGCTTTGGGGCTTTGGGGTTTCAAGGGGTTTTAGGGGGCTTGGGGTTTTGGAGGGTTTGGGGTTTAGGGGTTGCTCATGTCTGGGGTTTGGGGGTTAAGGGGCTTGTCGGGAGTATAGATGGGTTGGGTTTATGAAATTAGGCTTTCACTGCGTCGAAGTTTTATACTCTGAACGGCCTGGATATTGGATTTGCATCTTCGAATAAACTTGCGACTTTCGTTCCACACGACATCACACGACATTCCTCAGCCTGTCGACAGTTTGTACCCAGGCCCGGCGTTCGAAGCAATTGTTTTTGCGTCGTTCGTTAGCATGGATGGTTCGGTCCTAAGCCGGTTAATTATGTTCGCCGCTCAGTGCAAAGTAAGCAAGTTGGATGCCACTCAAACACGAAGCAGCCTGTGGCGGCCTCTCTCGTCTTCAGCTTCGGGAAGTTGTACGCCGCCTCTCCGGGCAACTGCTGCAAATTCGTGCTTTGCGGGTTCTTATTACAGGCTTTGGCAGGGGCACTCCTCGAGTTCCAGACCCTTTCTAGTGCTTCTGCATTGGATCATAAACGAACTGCCACCACTTTGAGTGGGGCACGGCGTGAAGGCAAGAGTAACCAGAGTCCTTCGCATCGCAGTCGCGCGAATGCAAAGCCACCCGGCGCGCAAGGCCGGAAACGGCAGGGCTCGAGCAGTTTGGAAAAGCACCCTGCGCCCAGATGGGACATCCTCGTGTCCTCGTGCAAGTCGGCTCACAAGTGACCTGATGCAGGCCAAGACTCAAAGCATCTATACAGGCACGTGACCTTCATCTAAGGAGGTCTCCGTGAAGTGTTCGCGGTACGAGTCAATTTCGCGCTGAAACATGTCTTGCACCACGTTCCCGAGCCATGTCGCGATAGCTTCGATTACATGCTTGTTGACATCCTTAAAGCCCACTGTCTGTTGTATGAACATCTTCATCTTGATCTCGTCGTCCTCTTTCCATGATTTCGCACTCATCGCGTCAACGCGGCCCACCGACTTCGTCACAGTCCTGATACCTTCGTTTCCTTGACTTACCTGCAGCTCTAGCGTCTCGGAAGCTTGCGCGGGCATTGCAAAGCTAACCTCAATCCCTATTTTCGACGCCACGAACTGTTCGTACAAGGTCCAGATGCGGGTCAAGTACACAGGTTCATCCCAAGTGTCAAGGACGGCGATCATGCGGCCGATTCGTCGCAAGTTGCTCTCGACAACTTCTTCGAGATTGTCGCTTCCTGAGCCAGTGGCCTCCACGATAATCCTAAATTGATTGTTGACGAAGAAGCACATGTAAAAGAAAACGTCCTCCGGCACCAGCTCGGACATGCTCTTTCTGTGCATATCTAGAGCGCTTGTGATTTGCGACAGGTGGTAGCGCCACGTCCAGGACATGAAGTGAGTTTGCTGCCGACGGTGGTTACGTGGAATCCAGTCGACGAGCGCGCAGCCCTCTCGACCATCGCGGGGACAAATCACCTTTTGCCCTACTGGGTCATCTGACAACCAGAAGGCATCTTTCATGTCATTGAAGGTGGGGTCGCTTTGGCCCGTGCGCTGTCGTGCTAGGTCACTGAAGTCGGCCGACAGCAGGTAGCTCATGCTCACTCCGCCTGTTTGGCTCTGCACCTTGCGGAATTCCTGGATGCGTCCAGCTATTGTGGCCTTGTCAACCCCATGCCCACGTAGCAACCGCTGGTAGTGCGTGGCTGTATCTGGGCCCTCATCCCACATGTCCTCAAACAACTGCATCATCAGCTTCTCGGCTCTCGCAGCTTTCCTCCTTCGGCGGTATGAGACCATGCAGCCCAAGATCGTAAGGATCATAAGAAGGCACCCTGCCGCTGCGAGCAAGTGCCACCATGCACAGCCTTCCTCCACAACCAGGAGAGGCCACTGACAGGGCAAACATGCGTCCGAACCCCGCGGTGCATATTGGGAATCGGAACAAGCCATGCAACTGCTCAGGTCCGGAAGGGGCACCTCGTTCGCGCCACACTCTTCGCAACTGTCAGAATCTGCCAGCGAGAAGCGCCCTGCCGGGCAGGCTCTGCAGCCGAGCCCGTTCTCTGCGGATGTCCTGCCAGCGCTGCATGGCGACTTGTCAAAAAGCGTCGCACCATCGAACATGCCGTCCGTACTGGCACCCGAAACATTCCACTGTTGCAGGTCGTGGCTGAAGACGTGAGCAAACGCAAACATGTAATCCATGTTTGTGACCTGTGAAACATCCCATGCTCCGATGTCCTGCCAACAAGGCCATGGTAACGTAACATACTTTGCAGGAACTTAGTCGCAAGTTAAAGGAGTTAGGAGGAACCCAGACAGTAATCAAAACGAAGTGAAAATTCACTCCGGATAAATCCCAATAATTCCCTACTATCTCCTTGGTATCGTAATCAACAAATGTTTGAAAAAGTTTGTCAAGCAATATTTCTCGCAGTTTTACAGATATATATATATATATATATGGTACCCCCCCCATGTACCCACGCCCTTCTAAATCCCAGTTTGTCCGTGGGATCGAATACCAGGTTCGGGATGGCGTGGGAGTTTGAGATTGGGGGGAGTGCGTGCAGATTGTAACTTTACTCGTTCATGTCTTTGGCGGGTTCCCTCCAAAATAGCCCCGAATCATCCGAATCATTTTGATTCGGGCCCGGCGCTGGATCCAAGATCCAAGATTGCCCAGAGGTCTTGTGTGGGCAATCTTGGATCCGACCCTCACCCGAATCATCCGAATCATTTTGATTCGGGCCCGGGCCCCGATCCAAGATTTCCCAGGGGTCTTGCCAGGGAATCTTAGACCCGACGCTCACCCATTGGATCCAAGATTCCTTGGCAGGACCCCTGGGAAAGCTTGGATCTTGAATCTTGGATCGGGGCCCGGGCCCGAATCAAAATGATTCGGAAATGATTCGGATGATTCGGGCGAGGGTCGGATCCAAGATTGCCCGCGCAAGACCTCTGTGCAATCTTGGATCTTCGATCTGGGCCCGAATCAAAATGATTCGCAAATGATTCGGATGTTCCCATGCCTTTCTCCGAAATCTCAGCTGCAGAACGGCGTGGGTTAATGGGATCGGGGGAGTGCCTGAAGATCGTATGTTTCTTCCCTATCTTTACATATAAAACTCTGGCTGCGGACCAAAATAAAGCGTATTCAAACGTATTCAAAACGTATTCTGTTGAATACGCCTCGGATCCAAGGTTCAAGATTCAAGGTGCCAGGGAGAATTTTGCCCTGCATCTTGAATCTTGAATCTTGGATCCGAGGCGTATTCAACAGAATACGTTTTTGAATACGCTTGAATACCGAAACTTTTGGTTTGACCCTTGCATTTTGTATTTCGAGCCTGCCGTTGTTCTGTGGATAGTCGTCGTTTTCTGCTCTGTAAATACGACAGATATAGACTATAGATACTACAGATAGCGCGGTCATTGCAGAAACTTAACACCGGTACTGCTTTGCGAAGTAACATTTCCACAATGCTTTGTAGGTGTTTGACTCTTTCAGAAAGCATTTGCCTGATCATACAGCTGTGATTGCCGTGATTCAGCCCGTTATTTCTGTTTTACGGTTTAGACATGTAGACCAGCACAGCAATTCCACAACTAGGAAAACTGAATTTCATCTTGACCGAAGTGTTAATACCCTTTTGACATGTGCAAAAATGTTGATGAAATTTAGTCGGCCTAACCACTAGTTTGATCGTTTGACGGGCTGGCCGGATTCAGTGGTTGGGCACACATATGACTTTTGTGCTCTTGCGAGGTGATTATCTTTGCATATAAGTTGCTGCATAGTTGTGAACATGTTCATGAAATTAATCCTGTCATGCTGTACAAGACTAGGTATGAATCTCTGCCTGAAGACCTTACGTTAAAGAGGACAACTTCATTGATCGTCTTCGTCCGTTACCCTGTACGGAACTTTACGTGTCGTCTACTTTTATCTACGACTGGAAGACTTTACTAAGGGAAATTTGGTGTCATATGGAAAATGTATTGGCTTCGCTTACACTTTTCTAAAGGTACATGTACAACGTGTGTTGCCTCATGCTTGCAAGTGGGTGTCTCTAATTGGTGCACTTTCATTTTTGTACGTCTTTAACTGTTGCTTACAGTAAAGAGCACTGTCCAGTACAGTCACCACAAAACCCTGACACACGATTTTTAGTGGTTATCATGTATTAGGTGCGAAGCTTGTAAACAACCCTGTAAGAACAGACAAGCACCAGCTCGGTAGGATGGACATGACTCAAACAATGCACAGGCTAAAGATCAACTAAACTCAGAATAAACATGTAAAGCTTGCAGTTGATATCAATACAAGACAGCGAGAACAACGAATTTGTTTAATCAGTACCTAACCCAAGAGGAGTAGAATGGAGTAGAAAGTTCAATACACAACCAAAACATTTTGAAATATCTTCGATCTTCGCCTTTTTCAGCTGGCTTCAAAGAACAAATATGTCAGCAGAATAAGCCATAGTTCTATATTGAGAGTGTTTGTGTATGTTGGCGAATCGTGCAAGCACAGGTGCAAATGTTCGAAAAGTAGTAGCCCGTAGGCTTATACTTTATCAAAATGTCAACAAACGTAGGATTCAACAACTGACATAGGAAGACAGGGGAAATCAAGAGTGTTAGCTGGGTTGGTATTGCTGAAGCAATCAGAACGGCTGGTCACAAGAAGAGCACCATTGGTAAATGTAGCAGTGAAACTACACTTAGTGCTGGCATAGAAGAACATATTACTACTTTAGTGCACTTTGCATATGATTAAGAGTAGTGGAGATTGGAAAGGGTTGCAGGGCTGCGGCGACGATCCCGCACAATTCAAGCGCAAAGCGTGGGTACATGAGGGGGGGGAGAGCATATGTATGTATATATATATATGTATATATATATATATATATGTGGCATGGACCTTATGTATAGAATGACTACTCGCTTTGCTGTATTACTGATATCAGTATAACTATGTCTTTACTGCAAGGTTGGTTGGTGTGTTCTGGAGCATCAGGCGTGCTAGGGATCCACCTGAGAATGTTATACGGGTTTCAGGTACGTCGTGAGATCCTCCGCTCCAGTTGAGGGTTCCTTGCTCGTTTGGTCGCTTCCACTCTTTGATCTTTCACATTGTTCTGCGATCAGTTCTTGTTGCATCGACATGCTAGTTTGCAGTCGACCTATCTCGCATTGCGAACGCTTACATTCCCAACATCATAAGCCCTGGAGTCTTAAGCCAAACTACTTCGTATAAGCTTATATGGCATGGACCTTTAGGGTCTTTTTGGTATTCCGGCATTGTTCAAGTTTCGGGCGGACGTTCAAGCAAAACAACGACGACGACGACGATGACGATGACGACGAGGACAACGATGACGACGACAACTGGTGGTGGTGGTGGTGGTGGTGGTGGTGGTGGTGGTGGTGGTGGTGGTGGTGGTGGTGACTTTCCACCTTTTGAAAGCCACTCCCTCGGTGCTCCTGCGTGCCGCAAGTGAAGTGCTAGTGCGAGGCTGGTGCTAGTGCTGCCGCTGGTGCCAGCGCTAGTGCTGGTGCTGGTTCTAGTGCTCGGTGCTCCGTGCTTGCAGCCACGCTCAGGACAGCAAGCGAGCGATCAGTTCTCCCGCTACCTCAAATGATTTCCAATGCAACCTCCAAAAGCAGAGCTTCCTGTCGTAAGCAGAGGGCTAAATTCCCCGGAGGTGGATAAGGTGGTTCGCGAGCCACCTGGTGATCGTGTTTATGCTACAGGGTACTTCTTTTGGTTACACTGCTCCAACTGACGCTGCGGCCCAGGCTTCGCCGCTGTCGCCCGTCTCGTCCTACAATCTCTTGTCTGTTCTTTTGTTGTGTCTCTTCTCTTTCTCTTTCTCTGCACTCTTTTCCAACCAAGGCTGCCACCCAGTCCTCCTGGTGGTCGTCCTTGGTCTTTCCCGACCTGAAGGTTGATTCTTTTCTTTTGTTTTGCTTTCTTCCAACCGATGCTGCGGCCCGGGCTTCCCAGGCTTCGGCACTGTAGTCCTTTCCGTCCTGAAGCTGTTTCCGTGTATTTGCTCTGTGTGTTCTTTTCTCTTCACTCTTTTCCAACCAAGGCTGCCACCCAGTCCTCATCGTGGTCGTCCTTGTAATCTTTCTCGTTCTGAAGATCGACTTTTCTTGTGTGTTACATTCTGCCACCCGATGCTGCGGCCAAGACTTCGCCGCTGTAGTCCTTTCCGTCCTGAAGCTTTTTACGCGTGTTTGCTCTGTTTCTTCTTTTCTCTTCACTCTTCTCAACTGCCGCCCAGTCCTCGTCGTTGTGGTCCTTTTACTCTTTCTTGAGCTAAGAATTCTTGCTTGCTTTACTTTTGGTTTCTCGCTTCTTTCTTACAGCGAAGACCGCGACCCAGATTTCGCGGCTGTAGCACGTCTCGTCCTGAAGCTTTTTTATGTTTTTTTGGTGTGTTTTGTAATTCTTTCTCTGTCTCTGCACTCTTTTCCAAGCAATGGCCGTCTTGCTCTCTCTCTCTCTCTCTCTGTCTCTATTTCTGTTTTTCTTTCTTCGTTGGCTTCTTCCAGTCGAGGCTGCGGCCCACACCCGGGGCTTTTTCAGCTTCTGGTCTTCCTTGCGATGATGCCGCAACAGGTTCGCCTGTGGAACCTTTGATTCGACTTCTGCTTCCTCTATGTGATAAAACAAGGTTCATTCAACTTAATAGCGCAACGTCAAGAAGCTGAGCACTGATTCAGCTCGAGCACTTCAAAAAGATCACTGAACCGGCACGGCCTTCGGAGCCGTCTGCTCCACTGCACTGCGCTTCTCGCCCTGGTGCAGCATTTTCACATACAAAAATCATAGTTTACCATTTTTGTCCCAAGGCTGCGGCATGCCCTGTGTCTTTGTACCCTGCCGAGTCCTGGTAGCAAAACCTTGGTTCTTCCACTCTCGTTCTCTTTTAGCTGCGCTAACAAGGCTGCGGCTTGGCACTGTCGCATCTTCTCCAGGAAGGACGACTGCACCTTATTGTTGTTTCTCTCTCTCTCTCTCTCCTCTCTCCTCTCTCCTCTCTCCTCTCTCCTCTCTCCTCTCTCCTCTCTCCTCTCTGTCTCTCTCCTCTCTCCTCTCTCCTCTCTCCTCTCTCCTCTCTGTCTCTCTCTCTCTCTCTCTCCCTCCTCTCTCCTCTGTCCTCTCTCCTCTCTCCTCTCTCCTCTCTCCT